AATCAATCCAACAGAGAAAATTAGCAGACACAGATATTAAGAAGAGATAACAAACCACTCAAGCACATGTAAACAATAAATAAATGGCATGCACGATAAGGATGAAAGTTCAAGCAGAAGGGCTATATTACTTCATCATCATCTTCAAACTCTCCATCATCTTCAACACCTACCTCATCTTCACCAGTCTCTCCATTGTCATCTTCATCTCCAACATCCTCACCTTGTTCATGCCCATCAATCTCCCCTTCGGTGCTAGTCAAGCGGCCAGTACTCTCAGGCGCTGCAAAATCCCCCTCATCATTGTCCACTTCCTCCTCTTCCTCATCATCATCGTCCTCATCATCCTCATCATATTCAACTCCATCCTCCTCGTCATCACTGTCTTCAATTTCATGAACCTCAACCACGTCGTCAACCACGTCGTCATCATCCCCCTCCTCTTCATCAATCTCCTCCCCTGAATCATTCTCTTCTTCCTCATCACCATCCTCGTCATCCTCTTCAACATCACCCACCGCCGGTGCAACCCGAAATCCATTGGCTTGATGGCTTGAGCCATTCGTTCTCCTTGAGGTTTCGGTCTCCTCCTCATCAGCGTCACTTTCTTCATCCTCCTCAGCATCCACAACCCCATCAACCCCCTCGCTATGTCCGTTGTTCATTCCAAATGGACGATCCTCCCCATCGATTTCTCCACTCCCGGGGTCGTCCTCATCGTCCTCATCCTCGTCTTCCTCATCATCAGACTCGGGTCTCTCGTTCTCTTCCGCATCCATCTTATCCAAGTACTTTAGCGATTTAATCAACCCAAAAACCCTAGATCGATAATCCTTGACCCGCGTGACAGGACACTCGTACAGATCCAGTGAAACAAGCTTCAGCTGTGCAAGTGGTGCAAGATCTTCAATATATTGAATCCGATTATTCGAAAGATCTAGATCCCGCAGGGAATCAAGCCCCGCTTGAACAAGAAATTCGAGGCCTCCAGCAATTCGGTTGTCGGAAAGGATCAACTTCTGAAGATTCCGAAGCCTGGGAAACTGCTCAAGCGACGAAACACCTATGTTGGCAATAGAAAGGTGCTGAAGGTTCTGAAATCTCTCTAGCAGGCTCGGAGGTGGCAACCGACCTTGTATACACTTAACTGCACCATCAAGGGTTAGGGTTCGAGCAGAGGCGTGGTCCGTCTCGCCCTCTAAAGCTGTCTCCACAGCCCTTTCCCAGATCTCATCCATCAAATAGGAAATCCTATATCTCATACACAGCCAAAACCACAAATATAAACACTTAAATATGGAGCCTCTATACAAATCAACTAAGTAACTCTATCAATCTTAAGAATCGCAGGAGTCTAAACTGCAGCTACGAAATTTGGATGAACCAACGAGCTTCCGCAAAGCAAAAATCTAACCCAGAGCGGCGGTTCAATAGCAGCCCGAAAAAGGAAACCCTAAATTTGCAGCTGGTACGGTCTCTACGATGGAAAATCAAATAGTCGGAGAGGAAACAATAATTCGCATAGCCAGACCTCTCTCTTTCTCTCTCAAATTTCTCTCTCTTTCTTCTATTGGCAAAGGGAGACGAGTCGGGATAAACCTCTGGGCAACGGACTCGCGGTTCGGGTCTAGGGTTCTTGGGGACAAAGGCTAGGCCTTGTGGTTCTAGGCGTTAGGGGCTGATCAGGGCCCGTAGTAGCCGTTGGATTTCCCATGCCAGGGATCGGTGAGGTGGAATAAGATGTATGGCTAGGATTCAATGTTTGTGTGTTTGTTTTCGAGAAGGGTGTAGGCTGTGCAGAAGCGCGGATCGGGGTCGCCTTCGACACGTCAGCGATTATGCAAATATCGGTGAAGGTGCACATATGCCTCCGCGTCTAACTAAATTTACGAGATTGCCATCCTCGTCGAAACTAGCTTTGCGTCTTTGCCCTTGAACCGTGAACGAAAGTTTGGGGCAAGAAACCGCAACGATTCCGCTTTCGGGGCCCGAATCAATGTTTCCTTTCTCCCGGATCAGTGAGCAGAATAAATAACTAAATTACTTGAAATTTTTTAAAAAATAAATAAATTACTTGCTAAAATCAAGAAAGAAAAAACCAAACCAAACACTAAACTAGCAAAACAGTAATTTAAAAGTCATCTGAGAATCGGATCAAACCGGTTATATTAAAATAATATAATTTAATTAAAAATAACAAAATATAATAATATTAATAATTACAAATAACAAAATACGAGAAAATATAACAATAATTTGATTAAAATAATAATAAAGTGCAATGATGTTGAGAATTTTGATTTTTACAATTTATCAATAATTAAAATTAATAATTATTAATATCAAAATTATTATTAAAATTTATTTAAATCTATAGTGATTGAGATATTATGAGCTCAATTAAAAAACAAATGACTAATAGCAACATAATCATGTGAATCGGTTTATATTTGGTTTTTACCAGTTTTCACCACTTCATCTCGATTTGATCAATTTGATACTGGTTTAACACCCAAACCAAACCAAACTACTAGTTGATTTACCTATTTTCTTACTGAGCCAGTCAAATCTGGTTTCTTGTTTCTTGGCTGGAATAGATATTATAAATTAGTGTAAAATTATACTTTCCATACTCGTGAGCAGCATAACTACTTATATTTGGTATGGATACTAATTAAGAATGTTAATAAGTTGATGATTGATATTAATTTGTCGATGAAATTCACCCCAGGTCAGCGACATTGTTGTGCAATGTCAACTTTTTAATAAGTGAAATTAGGATTAAGTAAAATCTAACCCCAAGAATTATATTTGTGATACAACAATATTTATAATATATACAAATAAATTGGGAAACCCTGTCTATCTTGATAATGAATTTTCACAACTTTTAAACAACTTCTTGTATATTCTATAATGAATTTTCTATCGGAATCATTCTATTGAAATTAGATCAATTACCATATTTACGGCCGTTAAAATTTTAAACATCTTACGATAATATTTTTTTACCGACCCACAATGAAGAGCGGTGAGAAATGTCTCCATTTACTGGCTTTCTCCGGTTCCCCTCCATTGAGCCCAAGCTCACTCTTTTCTTAATAAAACAAAACCTGGGCCATTCTTTTTTTCCATGTTGGAACTTCTTTTCAATTACTCTAGTTAGGTGTGCAATAGCAGCACACATTTGTTCCCCATGTCTCATCTTCTGCCATAGTCGTGCCCCTCTCTTTTCCTTCGGGTTCCATCACTAATCCAGTTTCTCATAAATTACAAAACTTTCAGCTAGCGAGTTCAATGAAAGAAAGACAGAAAGAACCTTGCTCTGGAAATGTGAAGGAAACTACAGTGTTTTCTTCTTATATACTTCGGTCCTTAATATAAGACCTGTTTGATTTTTATTTTGGTTCTAAATATAAGACCCTGATCCACTTTGTCTCTCATATTTATGCATTTTTTCCTAAGGTAGTTCTTTTAATAATTATAGTTTTAGCTAATATAGTTGATTAGTAAGGATATTTTAGGAAAGATAACACCTATTTATTACAAATAACTAAGTTAACTTCTTTCTTTAATCTCTTCAAATTAGTCAATTGGGTCTTATAATTAGGACCGGAGGTAGTACATAAGTTCTTGACATGTTACATGGCTTTGGCCCCAACAAAACGCTAAATAACAGGTTACATTAATCTGTATCAACACAGAAAATCACTTTATCAAATCTTCAAGATTGTCAGAAACATATGTACTGAAATGTATTGGAAGAGTTGAGTTTGACTCAAAAAGGGTTCTACTTCAAAAGGAAGAACGCCGATCAAAAGCAAAGTAGTGGTAAGTTCCCTGACTATTGCTACATCTCTGTTCAAATCAAAGCACCCAAATTTCTCATAACTAAAACCCCGGAGAGTACTCCTAGAAGATGAGAGATGGGGATCGAATGCAGCGGAGGCACGTAATAACAAAGCAGCAAATGAGGGGTGGGGTTGAGGCATGTTTTTGTTTTTAGGAACAGCTTGCACACAAGAGACAGGGAGTAGCTGAAAAGAAGTCCCAACAGCCCCGATTGAAAAAAAAGAATGACCTAGATTTTATTTTAGTAAGAAAACGGCGAGGTTGGGCTCAATGGAGAGGAAATGGAGACATTCAGAGAAGGTAAAAATTCGTATCTCTTGGACAAATAGTTAAAGATTTAATTCCTAGAGGCATGGAACAATCTCCTTCAGCCACTGATTTTTTTTCCTTCATATTTTTAAATAAAGTTCGTTAAATATGCTACCAAAAAAGTAGGAAAAAATTAGTTACAAATACTATATAAATTCCCACCTTTACTTTTTGATATACCGGATATAAACAGCTAAATTTATTTTAAGATATAATTATTTTTTTTACTTCTTAATAAAATACTAAAATTTGAAAATAATAATGTTTCTGTGTCTGGTGCCAAAATAATACACTTCATTAAATAAATAAGTTGAATAACGTCATTTACAAAATAAAATAAAAAAAGATGCAGCTTGGTCAATCTATTTTAACATTTTTTCGGTCAAAAATGCAAATAAAACATTAAAACACAACAAATATTCCCCGCTTTAGTAGTGAGACATTCTTTTCGACTTTATTCTTCTTCTTCCCTTGCTTTCCATGTCCCCTCTTTTTTGTTGCTCTGCCATTTGTTATCTCTCAGATTTAAAGCAAACTATACCAATTTTCATGGGTAGTTAAATCATGTTTTAAGGAAAAAATTTCAAATATTAAGAACGTCAGATATAATTTTCTCTTTTATCAACTCAAATATGCAATATATTCATAATGATAAAAAATATAATTTTCCAAATATAGCAAAATATAATTTAACCCTTCACCAAATGCTCCATTTACGCTGGCTACTTAATAAGCATATTGTGAAAACTAAAAGAATCAAGGAACTGCCTATATAGGAAGGACTCAGAAATAAGGGAGGGGAGGTTGATCTCGTAAACTTAAAAATGAAGCAGGGATAATTGATCTGACTATCCAGGAGACTCCTGAGAATCTATTATCAAAAGATAAAGTGGATTTTGCTATGATCTTAACGAGCTGAACCTCGAGAAACATTCTTTGGCACGAAATAATCTGCCCAAAAAGGTCGTGCTCCAAATTTACTATCCCTTGTATTGTGAAGATTTTGAATGACCAAAAAATTTGGAAAAATACAACCTATAATAATAAAATGCATAATTTATCCTGCTCTAAAAGCATTGTAAGCGTACTATGGCTTGGTGGATCACTGCCTCTTCACAAACTTCTCGCAGCGCATGGGCATTTTTAATTACAAATCATGCCCTTCGATGCTCTCAATTCTTCTTATCTTTAAGCTCCAGTAATTGTTGCTGCTTCTTTACCTTTTTGTTGTTGCTTCAGGCTTTTGCTAAATTCTTGTGCTCTCTGCAGTGATTATACATGGTGAAAAATATAAGGCCATAGCAGAAGCATGCATCAGATTTCAAATTATATTATGGTCGCTGAAAAGCTTGGATAAATTAGCGCAAGTTCATAATGTTAATGCCTTAAAATATAAATTGGCGAGACTTGTGGTTTCATTAAGATTCTGATTCTCCCTCACTTCAATGTAATATACTAATTTCCCTCATGCGCCTTACCCTCACTCCCAAACACAAATAGATAGAGAAGAAAAAGTTACATTATACTATATCAACGACATCCAGGCAAGAAAAGTTATAGTCTTCACATAAATAAGACCGCACATTTAAACCAACTAGTAAATTTAACTTTCAATTCCAAAACAAAGGCCAATTATTGTGTATTTTGCCATCATCGTGCCACGAATATATAAAGCTCAGAACCAAAACTCATCATTTTTCTACATAGAGTCAAGAGAAATGAAAGAAACCCTCAGCCACTACAACTCTACAAGTTTGAGTTTTCCCCATGTCCGGCAAATATTTAAACTTGGAAGTTGGAAGAAACAACTAAAATACATTAAGGTGCCAGCAGAATTAAGCAAACTACGCCATTAGAATCACAATGTCCAGTCTGCTTTTTTGTATTAGCCACACAAGAAAGCTGATCTTAGCATATATCACTTTCAAATTGAAATTGTTTGAAGAAGTATATCCTCCTAACAACCCTTTTGGTTTGAGACTATTTCATTCCAAAAGCTTAAGTTATTAAGGAAAGAAACCTCAAGAATGGTTTTCATTATCATCCCTAACATGGTTTTCCATCATCTTAACTGAATATTCCACTGTACCACTCCACGTAAGCACCAGTCTTGTTTCATTACTACATATCCGGGACACTACTTCTGAAACAACCACTTGAAGAAGGATTCATCAATAAGACTCTTATCAACTCATCATGATGCAGTAAAACCTTAAAAATAGAAATACAAGTCTAGCAAATCGCCCTAACATGCTGTGGTCATTTTCAAAAGAAACAAAAAGAAACAACAATCACCAGGTACTTGAAGGTTATTACGAGTTCTTACAGGAAAAAAGTGATCCATGAACTACAAAGTGTTTTCATTACCTAAACCAGTATAAAGCATATATTCGTTGGTATGCTCACTTTTCTCCAGTTACACTCTCTCATCTGAGCAAAAGCAAAAATAGCCCTGAGCTGAACCTCTAAAGCTGAGCACTACCTAAGGAATGTTGGTGACAAATCTCAAAAGGGTTGCAGTAAGAAGGGCTGCTGGGAAGTTAACAATCTCAAGGGTTACAGCAAGAATTTTTTTTCCTTCTCTAATTAACATACTGTTAGAGGATTGATTCACGCACTTATCTGAACGCAGTTGATATTTTATTTACTTCTGTTAGTATTACAGAACCTCTAACTTAAAAAACTTGGGTCATATATTTGCATGGGATATGATTCACTGAAATCTCAAAATTTGCACAACTTTTGGAAAAAGTTTAGTACAACTCTTCCACTGAGAAACATGAAACATCTACAGAACCAGGCCATAGTATATAACATCAGCAAAATGAAGCGATATTCAGTGACTGAGAAAGACATGCACAGATGCCAATAATACTACCTCCGGTCCTAATTATAAGAGCCAGTTGACTAATTTGAGGAGATTAAGAAAGTAAGTTGAGTTAGTTGTTTGTTATAAATAGGTATTGTCTTTCCTAAAATATCCTTGCTAATGAAGTGTATTGACTAGAACTCTTATTATTAGAAGGGTTACTTTGGAAAAAAATATATAAATATAAGAAACAAAGTGGATTGGGATCTTATATTTAGGATCAAAATAAAAATCAAATAGGATCTTATATTAAGGATTGGAGGTAGTATCAGACAATTAAAACAATTCAAAAGAAGCTATTTTTTGAGTGAAGATAAAAATGAAATTGCTTCGCCTCCATCGCATGTCCAAAACCAAGATAGCCCAAACGTCAATTCAAGACAATTGAATACGATAGCAAAGAATGATGACAGAATGATATAGACCTGTTGTCAATTTGGACAAACTGGTCAAGTGATATACACAAGTCACATTCCGGCATCAATCTCCTAATCAACCCGTTCTTCCAATATTCATTTAAAGAACAGGATTGAAGATGGCGCTAATAACTAGTTAAGTGAGTTCGATTAACCCCAACAACCATTTCTAAAATTCTGCACAACGAAACTCCATATGGATTATATCCGATAAAAGATTCGAGCAGTTTTTAGTTCCTTTTGACGTCACCAAGAATTTTGACCACGCAGGGCACCGGCGAGAGGGGGAAAACAAAGGAAAAAAAAGAAAGCTAAGCAATGCCCCTGGAACTGACAGCAATGTATTTCCTGATAACGACACGATTGCACAGAAGTTTAAATTCTTCCTTTAACACCATACCGCAAAACCAATATTCTAAAAACAACACAGTAAATAAACTTAAAAAGAGGCCCTGCCAAAGAGATCAAAGATTACGAGAGAAGTACCAACCGTTGATTGGATGGGAGGGGAGTCGAAATCAATGGAGCGCACAGACATCTTGGCGATCTCCGTGATGGCGGCCTCTCTGACCCCAGGCGCATCACTAGTTAGCACTTCATAAGCTGCCTCGAATGCCTCCTGCCAGAATCGCGGTAATCTGATCCGACGGCTGTTGGTGTATACATCCCACATGTGTTTCACCACCTTCTCCCTCTCTTCCATTTCCTGGACCACAAAACCAAAATTCCCAGTAAATTCCACACAACTCCTTCATATTCTGCATGAAATTCACAGCAGAGATCCAAACGGAAAACCAACTTACAAGGACATCAAGGTCGTCATGGATGGGAGTATCGAGGTCCTTGGACAAACTGTTGAGACTTCCGGACCACCGAAGAGATACAGTACCGGTGAACATGGACCAAAGTGCGAGAAGCAAAATGGCAGCTAACGCCCAGAATTTATACTTCCCTTTCCCAAACAAACCCGAATCGGCACTTTCCTTCTTCGCAAAGGCTGTGGTTGTTGGGAGTGCGTCATCATCTTTCATTTCTTCGTTCAGAGGAGATATTCAAGGTAGGTCTTAATCCAATTCTGATATTAGAAGATGACACTTTCCTATTTCCGTGATCGCTGCATCACTGTCAGGCGGACTCAGATTTGCGAAATGTGAGATGAGTCCGATCTCATATATGCGAGCGTGTTACTGGGATATACACTGACGAGAGAGATAAAAGAATTTCTTTATATTCAACATGGCTTCGCCCCAAATCCAATAATCATACCGCAGGCGGGGAACCAAATCACATCTTTTTAAGCCAATGTGGACGCCACATCAATGCCTATGACTTTTGATTATAGTGGCCCTGCCGAAGAGAAATGAATAATTTTATCGGAAAACGTCTTTGAGAGTGAGAAAAGGCAACCGACGTTAAACGTCACCGTTTGACTTATTCTGTTTTTGACCGGATTCTCATTCTGTTATTGTTTGACGTTTAATGATCGAGTTATTGTTGTTGGATTGATTTGGCCAATTCCTACTATAGCACCATGTTGGCGGTTGGTTAGATTGCTAACCTAACAAATTTTTTTTTTTTTTACCAGCATTGCTAGCCTAACAATTTGCTACACAAAACCAAAAATAGATTACATTATTCTTTAGACCATTTGATGTCTTGTGGTATATTAAAATGTTTCAAGCTATGGCATAGCATGTTTTGACCAAGAAATTAATAGTCTGCAGGCCTAACTCTTGTTAATTTTATAGTTTAAATGCATTGTATTTAATAATTTCATAACATTCTTTCACGTCGGTATTTTTTTTTTTTGGGGGGAAACCAGCGCTACACTGTTGATTTGTTTTGTCCTGCAAATTGATTTTTTTTTTTAATGCTATGTGAATTTCTATGCAACTTCTATGTACTTCGTATAATATATTAGTATACTATTGTCTACTGATGCTAGTATAATATAAGAAGTACTACATCCGATCCTAATTATAAGAGCCAGTTAACTAATTTGAGAAGATTAAGAAAGTAAGTTGAGTTAATTATTTGTCCTAAATAGATGTTGTCTTTCCTAAAATATCTTTGCTAATCAAGTGTATTGACTAGAATTTTATTATTAGAAGCGTTACTTTGGAAAAAAAATGTATAAATATGAGAGACAAAGTAGATTGGGGTCTTATATTTAGGACCAAAATAAAAGTCAAATAGGGTCTTATATTAAGGACCGGAGGTAGTATAATATAAAAAGTCATATTATCAAATATCGATACAATAATACGCATTATCCGCATAATATCCAGAAAAGGGGGGGGGTTCGCGGGAACAATTCCCCTCACTGAGCTCTATGCGTGGTGGCAGGTGGCTACAATCTTGCAGCCAACCTCTTGTTATATCCCGACTGCAGAATTTTTTTTTTTTTTAACAAAAAAGAAGGTCCTTCTCGTCAAACATTATTTGCAGGATCAGTTCCAAAGGCCCCAGTTCTGGAATTATTATTTTTAGTAAAAAGTTTCTCCATCTCTTCCAAGGACTTGCCTTTGGTTTCTGGGAGGAAAAAGAAGAAGAAGGCCCAAGCCAATGCAGATATTCCGGCAAACATGAAGAAGCTCCCACCAATAGTGATTGTCTTGTTGATGGAAATAAAGCTCATGGAAACACTCGCATTCACCACTCTGTTCACAGCAACTCCTATACTCGCCCCTTGCGCTCTCAGCTTCAAAGGGAATACCTCAGAGCTGTAGACCCAAGTGACCGGCCCAAGCCCAATGTTAAAGAACCCAACAGTAGTGTAGGTGGACGCTATGCTCAGGCCCAAGGCCCATACCAGTTTCGTTGTAGAATGATCTGACATAGTCAGGCTGAACCCCAATACTGAAAGGGCACAGATCATCCCTCCCAGACTTATTAGCAAGAGGCGTCTTCTTCCAACTTTGTCTAGCAACACCGTGGCTATGATCAGACAGGCAACCTTTGTAAAACCGATTCCAATCACTGTGAGTAAGAGCTTGTCCTTAGAGGTGACGCCGGCTTGCTTGAAGATTCTTGGGCTATATAACATCACGGCCTCTATGCCAGTCGCGTGCTCAAAGAAGTGAATCCCAACGACCGTAATCAGCATCCATCGAACACAAGGCGAAGGCCTTAAAATCAGTTCTTTCAAGACACTTTCACCTTGACACTTTGTAGAAACCTTAACAACGTCCTCTTGGCAGGCCTCGTCAATCCCAGCAGCGACTTTTATATCCTTGAAGCGTAGTTCTGCTTCTTCTGTGGTATTGGAAATCTGCAGCAAGACTTTCTTGGCTTTTCCAAGTTTGCCTCGCATGACTAGCCACCTTGGAGATTCTGGCATTCTTAGAATGCCAAGAGCTAAAGCAAGAGAAGGAATCGCTGCGATGCCAAGCATCAATCTCCATCCAAGTCTTAAAGGCAATTTGCCGAAGAAGTAGTTGGAGACATAGCCAAGAAGGATGCCTATGCCGATACAAAGCTCAGGAAGAGAGGTGAGAAAACCACGCGATGAGGCAGAGGAAATTTCTGCAGAATAAACTGGGGCTACGAGAAGGGCAAACCCTACGCCAATACCAGCAGTGCACCTTCCTGCCATCAGAACTAAGTAGTTTGGGCCGTAGCCCATGAGAAGCGAACCGAGCAGGAAGAGGATGGATGCGAGGACGATGGAGTACCTACGACCTATATAATCAGAGGTTCTTCCGGCAGTCAAAGTGCCTACTAATGCGCACAGGTTAAGGATTCCTGCTAGAATCTCCACTTGCGTGTCGCTGATTTTCAGGTCTTCCTTTATGAATATCATAGCTCCGCTCATGACACCCGTATCTGAAAGTCACGTATATAACAACATATCTTGCATGAGCTTTTCATTTTGAACTGGCAAGTGAATATTATAGTTAATAAAGGAGTTCTAATTGAGGTTCATGTTGAAAGAGAGAAGAGGGGGATTGATATAATTTAATACCATAGCCAAATATAATGGATATCATGGAAGCGACGATAGCACAGGCAGAAGCATATTTGTTGAAGCTAATGTCATCTTCTCCTCCACCTTTGGTCGCTGCAGCCTTCACCATACTAAAAGATCTGTGCTTCTCTCTTCCTCCCTATATCTTTAACTGCTTTCTCAGTGTGTTTATGTCTGTACTTGAGGCTTTGAGACTCTTATATAGCGGATGGTGAATTATAAAAATACATTTCCTCCTTGTTGGGTGAATAGTTTCAGTGGTTCCCACTATCCCCAGACAACGCACTCGCCATACAGATTATTGAACGAGACAAAATAAAATCTCAGATCAGCCAGATTTCTTTTGTATTTGTGGGAAGAAGAAAAAATGTATAATAATGACTATGAAATTTCATCAATACCGACCCTCATAATTATTAGTATTCAAAATCTTGGCTGGTATAAGAAAATCGTTCAAGTATTCTAGTCAGTTCAGATATGAGTTGACCAAATCGGACCTGTTTCTTGATCAAATCCGTTCCGCTTGATATGCCGCTGTGCAGGAGGCAATCAGCTCTGAAGAAGTAGGTATCCAAAATGTTAACAGTTGCAATGTATAGTATATTCATGGTGAACTGTTAGGGAGGCTCTAGATATTTTTTCTCAGTCCGTGGTGGGTAGTGGATGTTATACGTGCGCCGTCGCTGTCAATATAAAATGGGACTGAAGATCCATGGGTAACAAGAAAAGAGTATATTAATTCCTTCTGTATGACTTTGTGATGGCGATGACTTATGCTTTGCCAAATTCCAATCACATGCAATAGCCACCCAATTTCTGAACCATATTATGAACAATTATTCCCTTGTCTAATGTTTGGATCATAAATAAAAGCCAGTTATAGAAGGAGGCCAGGACCACAAGTGCTTGAAGCCAGAGCCAGAAAATCGGCTCATCATATATAGCTGGCTTCTGATGGGAACTCTTAAACCAACGATCGAGCGCACTTAACATCTTTGCTTGAGCCAGCACTGATTTATTCACAATTGCTTTATATATATAGGCAGTTTTCAAGTTTAAACTTTACAGGGCATTTGTGAAGCCTCAAAATTAATACATGTTTTTCTCAAAGTTGATATTTTGATGGGTTAATTTACAGCAGCCACGTGAAACACGTTGATACAAATAATGCATCCAAAAGTAATCCAACAGATCATACGTGCTCTCATCATCACTAGATATCTCTCATGCGATGAACCTTTTAAGCTGCTCGAATGACTTATAGGAACATGTCTCGCCCTTTCGATTTTCCACCATTTATAGTGGGATGAGCACTGGACAATATTTCGATAAGGATTTAGGTAGTACCTTGGGGGGGTATACCTCAGAACAATTTTTCATACGATTCATCTGACACGATGAACTTAGCAGAAAGAGACTTGACATGTTTGTGAGGAGCAATGATTATTGTTTTGAACTTAAGTTCCCACTATATAGGCTCCCAAAATATACATAGGTACACACACACACACACGCACATGACATAATCTGACATCAGAGTTGTGCGAGACACATACAGAATGGTGAAAGGGAGCTACCACTGGAACTTTAGAGGAAAAAAGCATTGGTTTCTTTATTGGTTAGACCTTTGAACTCAATGTTGGATAAAACCGAAAGGGAAAATTCCTATCAAAAAGGGGATGGTAATTCGGCCGGTGAAGGTTGTATTCAAAGAGCCTGAGTGCGTTCAGAATCCACGATGAAAAGGGGTAGAGAAAAGAACAACATAGTGGGCCAACCGTATTAATGACTTTATACAGAGTGCGATTTAGTGAAGTCTTATTTCCCGGCTGTGAGTAGCATGGAAGGGATATCAAATCTTGTTTCTGTAATATCTGTATCTCACCCCACAATTTTGCAGGAAACTAATTTTAAACCCAACATCTCAGTGCGGATGCCACTTGACAAATAAGAAATTGAACTTTTATCCTCCGAGATTGTGTGACAATCCTTTGATTTGACAAAAAGCGGCCTTAAATTCAAATGAAATTAAAGCACCATGCCAAGAGCTGACCAGTTTCTTTTAACTACCATTGCGATCATCATATTGGCAATGGCCCGGAGATAATCCCCAAATGAACGTGTTTTGCCAATTTGCCGATGGGTTCGTTTGGAATAGCCGTAAAAAAAGTAACTTATTCTTAATATGATTTTTAGTAAAGCGAGGTTGAGTAAAAATTAGATTAAGTAATGTGATTTATGTTTAGATTAACTTTTATAAAAGTTAGTTTGTAAAGTAAAAAAATTGTTTGGATTATGATTAAATAAATAAATTTAGTTTGTAAAATGACCAAAATAGGTATGATTTTTATTAAATAATTAAAATAAAAAATATGAATTTATAAATATAATAATTTTAAATTATTATAATATGAAGAAGCTATATTTAATGAATAAAATATATTTAAATTACAAATCATAATAATGTGAAAATTCTTGAACCAAATAATATTACATAATTAATTGGATCAGCATAATTTATCTAAATATAAAATTAAAATAATATTAAAAATTAAAAAATATAAAAACTGTTAAAAATATTTTCACTTAAGAAAATATTAAAAATAAATAACTAGAAACTGATTGAAAAAGCATAAAAAATATAGAGAGAAGTATAAAAATATTATAAACATAAGGGTAAAAATGTTTTTTAACTTTAAAAAGCTGTTTTTGCATAAGTTATAAGTAAGTTTTAGGTGCTATTAAAATTATGTTTAAAAAAGTAGCTTTTGACATATAAGTTAGATTGGCTAAAAACTATAACAAGTAGCTTCTAAATTTACAAACCGACTTATCATCTCTATAAGTTACTTTTTTTCCCCTTCAATCGTGTTGCCAAACAGGCACAACATCTAAGAGATAGACCAATTACAACTTCTTGAATCAATATTTGAATAGTCATCACAAATAATCAAGTACCGGATTCCTACTTTACAGTACGTCCTAAAAATTGTACGATTTGCACAGAATCTGAACGATGATAAAGTTGATTAAAAAAACTCAACACTGACAAAATAATTTAAACAATTTAATGAACAGGACAAGGCGGATCAGTTAGTGTACTTTTATTCTGAAAAAAAAAAGAAGAAAATTTTAGTTTTATCAAATATTTATTCAACTTGGGCCGGGTGGCAGATTGAACTATAGAGAAGGCGTATTTCATCTGAGGAAAATTAAATCGTTGCTAGAAACAAATTTTTTCCACGAAGAAATTGAAATTCTTCCATTTAAGTATTGACACATACGTGTAACACGATAAAATTGGATTTGCCTCAGCATTAAAACTTGAAAGCCCCCATTACAATCCTTTCTTTAATTCCAAAATTCAAGCGTGTTATCGGCACAATTGAAAATGATCCTCGTTATTCATATTCATGCATTTTAAATAAACATAAGTATATATTGGAAGGCATACATATACCACATACGGTATACTAATGAACTAATCTGCCGTCTGTAATACGCAACTATGGGTCAGTAGTATTACTTTCTGCTTTATCCATCTGGACCTCCGGCGTGCAACGTCCACCAAAGATGATCTCCATGTCTTCTAGAGATCTTCCTTTCGTCTCAGGCAAGAAGAAATAGTAGAACAACCAAGCTAACACGGTGATACCAGTAAACATGAAGAAAGTCCCACTCATGGTTATGTTCTTATAAATTGTTATAAAACTCATAATCACTGTCACACCCGCGATTCTGTTCACAAGCACACAGATTCCAATCCCTTGAGCTCTAAGCCTCAAAGGGAATATCTCGGAGCTATAAACCCACGTCGCAGGCCCCATTCCAAGAGCCGCGAAACCTACAAAGGCATAAACGGAGACGATAACTAAACTTACTGGCCATAATAACTTGTCTTTAGAATGTCCCACGATTGTCAAGCAAACACTCAATCCTACCAAGCTGACCACCATACCCCCTGCGCTGATCAGCAGCATAACCCTCCTCCCTGCTCTGTCCAGCAAGGTCCCAGAAATGAATGTACATATAACTTTGATGATTCCGATTCCAAGTGTGGCTAGAAGGAGCTTGCTCGTGCTGGAGATTCCTGCTTTCCCGAAGACCCTGGGACTGTATAACAGCATGGCATCATTTCCACAAAGACGCTGGAACGCGTGGAGTGCTATGCCTGCCATTAGAATTCTTCGTACTGAAGGTGAAGGCTTACAAAACAGTTCTTTCAAAGCTCCTCCTCCACTCATGGTCTTCTTTGGCACCTGCTTAATCATGCGTCGTACGTAAAAACATTAAAACTCAAGTCTTGAAACAATGTAGTTACATGTCACCTTCAATTACTGTTATGGTGTATTAATTACCGTGACAACGTCTTGGTTGGAATTTTCATCGATACCAACGGCGATCTTGATGTCCCGCAAGCGCTTTTCGGCTTCATGGTGAGAGTTTGAGACAAGTAAAAGAACCCTTCTGGCCTCACCCACACGACCTTGCATGACCAGCCACCTCGGAGACTCCACCATTGTTAACATGATAAGGGCTAGGGCAAGGGAAGGGAGTGCTGCAACGCCGAGCATCATCCTCCATCCGAGCAGGAGGCTCATCTTTCCGAAAAAGTAGTTTGAGACGTAGCCAAGCAAGATTCCCACGTTTATGAACAAGCTTGGGAATGACGTCAGAAAGCCTCTGGAAGAAGGAGGTGAGATCTCTGAGCAGTAAACAGGTGCTATGACCAATGCAAAGCCCGCCCCAATTCCTGAAGTGCATCTTCCGATCATTAGGATTGGGTATGAAGGGCCGTAGCCCATCAGGATGGAGCCGGACATGAAGATGAGGGAAGCTGCCATGATTGTGTAGCGCCGACCGATGACGTCGGAGATTCTGCCGGCGACCATGGATCCAGGGAGGGCAAAGGCGTTTAAGATGCCTGCCAGGAGCTGTACCTGTTGATCATTGATTTTAAGCTCCTCCTTTATGAATAGTAGAGCTCCGGACATGACACTAGTGACTGCATGTGGAATTAGCAAATTTTCATATGTGGTGGCCCGAGTAATATATGAAATCAGTGGGTCATAGTAATTTTATATATGTATGAGCAAGCAATTGAACTCACCATAGCCATGAATAATTGAGATAACGGTGGCAACAATAACAGAAGTGCAGGCATACATGTTAAGCCTTTTCAAACTCTCATGATCATTTACATCGATAACGTTCTTCGTTGGTTCTGGGAAGTGTCCGTTAGTTTCTTTTGCCCCGGACATCTTATGATCTTCTAAATTCATATCTACAGAGTTATCGATGATTCGTTGATCTCCTTATATAAGGAGAGAAGCAGTTCCTTGAATTTGCAATACGTTAATTGTAACTGGTGAGGACCGAAACAAAATCCTTTTCCCTTTTCAATAACTCTCTGTAAATGACTTTTTAAGGTGATCGGAGGGGTGCTAACTATAGCTCCTGGTGTTGGCCACTCTAATCAAGATATGATTTATTAAAAGATGCTAACATATTTTTCCTTTGGAATTAGTTACTAATTTTACTCTATTTTTAAAAATTCAAAATAATACCATATTTAACCTATAAAAGGGAATGAAAATAATAATAACAATAACACTTGAGTTTAGTCAAATATACCGTATGTGTATATTTAAGCCACGCAATGGCACAATATTATTTGGACATGAGGGGTTTTGAGCGCATATGAACATATATAGTTTATTAAACTCAAGAAGCCAAATGGCTTATAAATGGTACTAGTTTTTTGACTTCCGGGGGAGCTCCATGTTGCTCGTAACAAATTTCTCTCTAAATTTTAACACAGAGCAATAATCACATTTCTGTTTTTTTTTTTTTTTACTCATTATCGTGTTTATTCTTCTCAAAGAATTTTCAATTATTTCTTCCAAAGAATAAAAAAAATATTTTTGGTTTATATTCATCATCTGTCACTGACCATGACTCAATTACCTTTATATTTTTTGTCACAGCGCACGTCCCATATAACTATATTTATATATGTACGTTTAACTTTTCATCAATAGATCTGGCCAAATATAAATGTATATACATAGACATATATATATATATATTACTTTGTAATTCTTCGTCCCCTCAAATAAACCAAATGCATCTATAGAAGTTAAAATGAGAAGTATTGTGCTACTACATTATTGATGGAATATGATTTAGTTACCATTGCCGCCATCACGCATGCATAATGAAGATGGCCAACCAAAAAGAGGTTTTTGAAACTACCTCTGGATGGTTCCAAGCAATGCGAAAGCAGATTTGTCTCAAAAGGCGTCAAAACTCGTTTTCAACAAGAAACAAAATATTAATAAGTAGGTTTTGACCAAAACCAATGAGTTTACAGCACACGCCAAATCTTAAGTGAACGTGTTTTGCGAGTTTGCAAATTTGATTAACATTAATTTTCATTTAATTAAGGTTGTTATGATTTGTTCATAAAATGTGTAAATAGTCATATATCGACAGTTGGATCTTATTTACTGTTATTACTCTAGACCTATTTGTGATCAAAGTTTAAACAATATTTGAATTTTTTATCTGAATGTATATTTTCTTAAGACTTCTACCTTTTTTCCATACAACGGAAAAGATTTAACACTTCTGCCTTCCCGTGCACAAAAAATAGAGATTGATCTGAACACTATTTCATATGATTTCATTTAAATAGTCTGCTTTACATGTGCATATATATCATCGGCCTTTGACTCACTTAGACTCAGTAGATTGGGCTCCTAATAACTATCGGCTTTACGTTACACGAGTTCATCAGTCCAGTTACTTGCACTAATAGACCATGCAAGATCCTGCAAAATCTTTGACATTTGCGTAAAACAGATAGAATTCAGAAAACGTATACGATCCGAACAAGTAATCTTGTAGGCTAGCTGCTTATGTGTGCAAAGCGAAATGAGAATGATTTCCATTTTTCATTCCCATCAAGTCATGGTTTCGGGTAAAAGTTTAAATGGTCACTCTTAAAATTAAAATTAAAAATAATGAAAATTATACCATGGCTAAATCATACTTGATGGGAACTATTTTTTTCAATGAAAATTATATCCGTCCCCTTTACTTCATCTTTAGGTGATGAAATTATCCATGTTCTTTTAAAACCCATTTTAAATTATTGTTTTTATAATGTTAAGAACAAAATTCAATGTTTCATGTTATATCAAGAATAGCATCGATTCCGCATGCATGTGCGCGCGCTAGAACTCGCGAAATCCTATAGCTGCAATTAGAATTCTTCGCATGGAAGGCGAATGCTACAAACAAAGAGTTTTTCCAAAGGAAAAAGTTCAAGGCTCCAACTGGACTCCTTTGCAAGTAGATTAAGAAGATCTTCCATTCAAATTCATGCATTTTTAAATAAACATAATTAGAAGGCATATATGCATAAACCACATACGGTATGCTAATCTGTCATCTGTAATAGGCAACTATGGGTCAGTAGTATTGCACAGTGCTCTGGCCATTTGAACCTCCGACTTACAACGTCCGCCAAAGATGATCTCCATGTCTTCCAGAGATCTTCCCTTTGTCTCAGGCAAGAAGAAATAGTAGAACAACCAAGCTAACACGGTGGTTCCAGCAAACATAAAGAAAGTCCCACTCATGGTTATGTTCTCATAAATTGTTATAAAACTCATAATCACTGCCACCCCGGCGATTCTGTTCACAACCACGCAGATTCCAAGACCTTGTGCTCTAAGCCTCAAAGGCAATATCTCGGAGCTATAAACCCACGTCACAGGCCCTGCTCCAACAGACATAAAAGCCACGAAGGCATAAACGGCGACGATAATTAAGCTTATTGGCCACAATAGATTCTCTCCAGAGTGTCCCACGATTGTCAAGGAAATGCTCAGTCCTATCAAGCTGACCACCATACCCGCTGCGCTGATCAGCAGCAGAACTCTCCTCCCTACTCTGTCCAGCAAGGTCCCCGAAATGAATGTACATATAACTTTGATGATTCCAATTCCAAGTGTGGCTAAAAGGAGCTTGCTCTTGTCGGTGATTCCCGCTCTCTCGAAGATTCTGGGACTGTATAACAGAATGGTGTCGATTCCGCATATACGCTGGAAAGCGTGGACTGCTACGGCTGTAATTATAATTCTTCGCACGGTAGGTGAAGGCTTACAAAGGAGTTCTTTCAAAGCCCCTCCTCCACTCCTGGTTTTCTTTGGAACCTGCTTAATTATGCGTCGTACGTAAATGAAAACATTAAAACACAAGTTTTGAAACAATGTATATAGTTACTTGTCCAAGAATGAAACTAATCTTCAATTACTGATATGTTAGTAATTACCGCAACAACGTCTTGACCCAGATTTTCATCGATCCCAGCTGCGATCTTTATGGCCCGCAAGCGCTTTTCAGCTTCGGGTTCAGAGTTTGAGACTAGTAAAAGCACCTTTTTGGCCTCACCCATACGACCTTGCATGACCAACCACCTCGGAGACTCCACCATTCTTAGCATGAGAAGGGCCAGAGCTAGCGAAGGGATTGCTGAAACGCCAAGCATCATCCTCCATCCGAGCTTGAGGCTCAGAGTTTTGAAGGAGTAGTTTGAAACGTAGCCAAGCAAGATTCCGATGTTCATGGACAGGCTTATGAACGACGTCAGAAAGCCTCTGAAGGAAGTTGGTGAGATCTCTGCGCAGTAAACAGGTGCTATGACCAATGCAAAGCCCACTCCCAATCCTGAAGCGCATCTTCCGATCATCAGGATTGGGTACGATGGGCTGTAGCCCATCAGAATTGAGCCCAACAAGAAGATGAGGGAAGCTGCGATGATGGTGTAGCGCCGACCAATGACGTCGGAGATTCTGCCGGCGGCTAGAGATCCTGGAAGCGCACAAGCGTTTAAAATGCCTGCTAGAAGCTGTACTTGTTGATCACTGATTTTAAGCTCCTCCTTTATGAATAGAAGAGCTCCGGAAATTACACTCGTGGCTGAGAAGAAGAATTTGGAATTAGCAAGTTTTTCGTATTAGGTTGCGAATATTCTCGAGCACAGTTACCTTGTTGAATTAATCAATTCATTGTAGATTAAAGCTCTTGTGTCTTTTTGTTACCTTTTATTTTCCAAACAAATTGTAATTGTGTGTGTGTGTGTGGGAGAGAAGGAGAACTCACTGTAACCATATATAATTGAGATAACGGTGGCAACTACAACAGAAGCGCAGGCGTACTTGTTAAGCTTTTTCAGACTTTCGTCATCTGCGTTGATCACATTCTCCATTGGTTCTGGGAATTTGATCAACTAAATTCATAGATGCAGTTACATGTTATGAATGATTCTTATACTGGGGAGAGAAGCTCTTTTAATTTGGCAATATGTTGACAAATAGTATACCACGCTACTCTATTAAAGAATAAGCTATCTCCAATCCTTAATGTAATAGTTATTTTAACTCTTAATTTGTTACTAAATATAAGATCTTAGTTCATTTTGTCTTCAATATTTATCTATTTTGCACTCAATTAATCCTTATAGTAGTTGTATAAGCTAAGAAGTTACTATCAATACGTAATTCAAATAAACATGATCAATAATAGTATTTTATGTGAGACTACATCTATTTACTATAAATAATTAACTAAACTAATTTTGTTAATTTAATCTCTCTAACTTGGTTAACTAAGTTTTATAGGTAGTGCTATATTGCATCACCTGTATCATTAAAAAAAAAAAAAAACATCTGAAGGAGATCGTTGTCTCCATCTCGTGCAAATTTTTAATAGGGTCTCTATAAATGACTCCTAGGGTGATAGGAGAGGATACTAACAACTGATGTTGGCCATTCTTACAAGCAAAGATGCAATCGAAAGACGTCAACAACTTAACATGCACTTAGTTCCGCTTTGTTCTTTTCCCAGAAAAACAAAGAAAAACCGCTATATTTAACTAATCTGAATGGAGCTTGGGGCCAATTAAAATAAAAAAAAAAAAAAAGCTTATACGAGTATTTAAGCAATGATATTTAATGTTGGGCTTGAGTTGAAAGCATATGAACTTGATTTATTAAACATAAGAAGACAAGTGACTTACAAATGGTATTTCCTCCGTTTCAAAATATATATTTTTTAAATTGTAATACATAAATTAAGATTTAAGAAATACAATCAACATATTAAATTTATATTGACTACATCATCAAATTTGCTCTCGTAAAGAATTTTCTTGCACGCTCATATCACTCAGATAAATAAAAATATAATACAACAATAATTGAAAAAACTGTCTTGAACTTTTAAAAAGACCTGGCAAAAGAAACTTAAAAAGACATACAAGATGAAAGAAAAATTTTCTCTTAAGGCCATCTACATTGTGATGTGAAACGGAGGGCGTAGTACGACTTTTAGAAATAATATTCCCTTTTTCTATGAAAAAAAATATAATTATATCTTTCAAAAAGTCACATTACCTTAAATATACGTAATGACATCATTAGCGATGGAGGTTTCTAATCTCAAAGAATATAAACAATATTGTGGATCTACATTCATCGTTATTAGTTTGAGGACCTCTACGTTTTATTTTGTCACGATTAATACACGTGCCATGTAACTATATTAGTATATTTATATAAATTTAGCTTTTCAAAATAGATCTAGCCAGAAAAAAAAAATAATATTGCTTTTTTAAGTTTTCGTCCCTCAAATGAACAAAATGCATCTAGTTGAAATGACAAATAGTGATCAAGAACTGGATCATTACTCATATTTTTTGTCATCACTAATTAGATCTAAATTATAACGAAGAGTAGAGGTACCAAGGCAGAGTTGGCTTGGTAGTGTAAAGGCCCACTTGATTCCCCTAAATCCCAAGTTTGAGTCCTACGAGCACCTATGCTGGGGAGGAATAGCTACGATTCTACGAACACCCAACCGGATTAGTAGTTTTTAATTTAAATATTAATCTAAACATGCACAATTTCATAAGTCTGCGTTTGCATGCGGATCTCATAGGCCTTTGATTTATAAGGTGTTTGAATTAGCTTTTCAAAAGTGATTTTTTGGCATTCAAGATAAGTACTATCTCTGATTTTTAATATAAAAATTAATTGACTAATTTAAGCAGATTAAAAAAATTAAACAAGTTAATTATTTATAATAAATATGTGTTATATTTTCTAAAATATTCTTATTAATGAAATGCATTCGCTAGAATTATCATTATTGCAAGAAATGCTTTAAAAAATAAATAAATACAAAAAACAAAATATATTGAGGTCTCATATTTAGAACCAAAATAAAATTAAACAAATTCTTATATTAAAAATCAAATATAGTATATGAGAAAAGTTTTTTTTTTTTTTTGGTTGCCGGGATTTCTGCATACGCTGAGACTCGAACTCGAGACCTTACTTAAAGTGTACCAAGCCGCTTACCACTGGACCAACCCCTGTTGGTAGAAGAGTTTTATTTTGATTTATATTAAAACACTTTTTTAAGTGTTTTTAGGATTTTCGAAGCACCCCCTCCTCAGTCAAATGTTTTCGAACTGGGCTTGTAACTATCGGCCCACATCACATGAACTGGAAAAAAAAAAAAAACAACGAAGGCAGCTATTAATAATTGCAACCTGCAGGTTGATCCGTTTGAACCTCCGACTTGGGAGATTTATCAAAGACGGCCTCCATGTCCTCCAACGACCTTCCCTTTGTCTCCGGCAGGAAGACATTGTAGAAACACCAAGCTATGGCGGTGGCCCCGGTAAAGACAAAGAATATTCCGCCCATCGTTATCTTCTTATAAACTGTTATGAACGTCATAACCACCGCCACCCCCATAATTCTGTTCACAACCGCGCAGATTGCGAGCCCCTGTGCTCTCAGCCTCAGAGGAAATATCTCGGAGCTATAAACCCACGTCACAGGCCCCAATCCGATTCCCATAAAAGCCACAAACGCATACACAGCCACGATGCTGAAGCTTACTGCCCACTGCAGCTCCTCTCTAGAATGTTCCACCATGGTCAAGCACACACCCAATCCTAACAAGCTCACCACAATACCTCCCGAGCTGACGAGCAGCAGAACCCTCCTCCCCACCCTGTCCAACAAGAAGGCTGCCATGAATGTGCATATAGTTTTGCTAATTCCCATTCCAAGCGTGGCTAGCAGCAGCTTGCTCTTGTCGGTGATGCCTGCTTTCTGGAATATTCTAGGCGTGTATACCAGAACGCATGGAATCCACTTAGCTGCATAAACAAGTGCAATCCCGCCGCCGCAATTAGAATTCTCCTTACTGAAGCTGAAGGCTTGCACAATAGGACTTTCAAAGCTCCTGCCCCACCCCTGCTTTGCTTAGGCACCTGAATATTATATTAATCCACACAATCAACGACAGGCCATTACTGCATGTTGAATAGATATGTATGTATGTATAAAAGCCAAGTAGCCGCAAAAGGATATATATTTAAAACTAGAGAATGAAACAAATCTTTAGTTCTTGTTATGGTGTTAATTTTCGTACCGGAACGATGTCTTGGTCGCAATTTGCATCGATGCCAGCAGCAATTTTTATATCCCTCAAGCGCTCTGTGACTTCGCGGTCAGAATTAGAGACAAGTAGAAGAATCTTTCTGGCGTCACCGACACGGCCTTGCATGACCAACCACCTGGGAGACTCCACCATTTTTAACATGAGAATGGCTAGACCTAGCGAAGGGATTGCCGTGACACCAATCATTATCCTCCATCCCAGTGTGAGGCTCAACTTTCCAAACACATAGTTTGAGGCGTAGCCAAGCAGGAGTCCTATGTTGATGGACAATTCCGGCACGGAAGTTAGAAAGCCTCTGGAGGAAGCCGGTGAGATCTCGGCGCAGTAGACCGGTGCTATCAGCATCGCGAAGCCCACCCCAAATCCTGAAATGCATCTTCCGATCATTAGGACTGGGTATGATGGGCCGTAGCCCATCACGATGGAGCCCAACGTGAAGAGGAGGGAAGCTACGATAATGGTGTAGCGCCGACCGATGACGTCGGAGATTCTGCCGGCGGCCAAGGATCCTGGAAGTGCGCAAGCGTTTAAGATGCCTGCAAGCAGCTGTACTTGCGGGTCACTGATTTTAAGATCGTCCTTTATGAATAATAGGGCTCCGGACATAACTGCTGTGACTGAAGAGAACATAATATCCGGTTAGCAACAAAGAAAATTGATGTTTCAATCTCATCATCTCGTACTTTCATAATGAATTAATTTAAACCATGTATTGATATATGCTCTCATGTGTTTTTTTCCGACTTATTTTTCGGACAAAATTCCAAGGTAGGAACTTGTTGGTCGTCGTATGATAACAATGATTATATCGGCGAGAACGAGAACTCACCGTAACCATATATCATGGAGATGATAGAAGCAGCTACCACAGAAGCGCAAGCATACTTGTTGAGTTTTTGCCAACTTTCTTCAGTTTCATCGACACCATTCTCCCCTGCCATTTGGAATCGTTCCTCCCCCCCCCCTCTTGCCACTGACTTTATTTGTCGTTGTGCTTCTGTGATCTTAATATTACAGCTATATATATATGTATATATATCTGATCCTTATACTTTATATGGAGAGAGTTTTCTATCTGGAATATGCTAAAAAAGTGTATAACGATATTTTTAAAATGAGTCGAGTCTTAATCTACTCGGTAAGAAATCATTCATTGTAATATTTCTCAATGTCTAAGAGATTACTTAATACATAATATATTTTTTGTGAGCATTGATTTTTTTTAATCTAGCTAGTATCCCCAGTTAATTATAAGACTTTCTAATTAATTAACCCGATTCTTATAACTAATTATTTTTATTGAGAACAATTTTAATATTTTACAAAAGAAAAACTTTAACTAACTTTATTAATCTGTGTAAAACTGTTATTTGGTTTATATCGAAAATAAAAGGAATATAAACAAAGGTCAAAGAGAAAGCACAAAAGCTACCTCTTGGATCATATTTCCCCTCCCTAAAATTCTCTTGGACTGACTCTTCAAGGTGATCGGAGAGCTATATCAGTTTATTGAACGATGTCATCTAGTTTTCCATCGCAACACACGCTTCATTTAATTATATATATACAAATATATATTTACATTAGTTTAATTTAGTCTTTCATCAATGGATTCAGCCGGAAAATATGAATCTATTTTTCTAAATTTCCTGCCCGATCGACAATGAACAAAACGTTTCTATAGGAGCTGAAATGACAAATATTGAGCCGCAACACATGTATGTGCTAGGCCCCACGTACGCTTTGAACGAAGGGGCTTGTTTCACTTTGAAAACATTAATCAGCATATATACCAGTTGATGATGAAAGGACGAGATGAGAGGCGCTTTTGCCATCGCATCTAACTATCTTATTATTGAATATGAAGTGGGAGATTTTAGGCATCATGAAAGTGTCTGTTAACTGGGTTCTAGCTTTCCCCTGAAATCAAAAGCCCCACCTTTTGTACATATAACAGTCAAATGATGATGAAGGAAACGACGACCCTGTAGAAACTCGACCGTTTCCTTCTCTTCAAGTATTGATGGCTATTAAATCCCCCTGTTCATGCATGGTGTACTCGTCGTCCTTTATTTCTGCTTTTGCATCTAGTTTATCAGAGTGAATATTACTTCCTGTTGTTTTTATTTCTCGAACCGACTCTTCCATAATTATTCTCTATCTTCGCTACTATTCATACCTGATATAGGAAGTTTTCTAACCGGCCAATACTTAAGCAGTATATATATGACGCTGTTATTTTTAGAAAGTATAGGTCTTAATCTCCGCTGAAAGAAACTGGTTTAACACATACTGAAATTCTCCATCTCATGATCTGAGGTATTATTATTTAATATACAAATAAAAGGTGGAAGAGAAAGCGCTGCCTCTTCAACCTTATTTTGCCCCCGAAACTCTCTTGGAATGACTCTTCAAGCAGATGATTAGAGAAGTATTCGGTTTAATTAGCCTTTTTAATGGAATTTGTAATTAAGATGAGATTTTTTTTCCAATGAAATTATTTATAATATACTTTATTCTTAAAAGAAGGAATTAAGGCTGAGAATTAAACTTCTGTGCACATATTTAAGAAATGAGAGTTTCCTCATATCTACTTTAATTAACTGGATGTAAACCAAATTTGTCTGATGATCTTCATGTTAGATGTGGAGTTTTATGACAAGACAAATTTGATTAACTATAGCTTGAGATTTTTTGTGTTGGAAAAAAAGTAGAGGTTGCACGTCTTTTCAATGAAACTTTATTTTTTCATCGCAACAGGCATTTCATTCAACCATATATTTATACACAAAATATGAAAGCTTAAAAAAAAATTCTCCTTCCAATAAACAATGTATTTCTATAGAAGCTAAAATGAAAAATATTGCCCACACAGAACTTATGCTTGATGAAGCTATTCTGGGAAAACTACATTTTAATTTAAATATTAAAAAAATACCAATTAGCTGTAGATGTTAAAAGAGAAATTAAAGCCTAAAACTTTGTCAAACGAGTGAAGACTAAATGTCTCTTAAAAGCAAAAACAAACAAAGAAAGGAATCAAAAAGACGTGCATATAGATGATTTTGTTCCCTTGGATCCGCACCTCCATGTTCTTGAAGAGGTGCTTCTTTGGATTGACTTTTCTTATGTTGCACCAACATCCACAGATTCAACATTCTACAACCCACAAAGCTATATCCAGGCCCCACGCTTTGAATGAGTTGGCTTCTTTTTTCCTTTTTCACAATATTAGCATTCATTCAAGCTACAATATAATGATGAAAGGACGAGAGGTTCTTTTGCTTTCGCAACTGACCATCTTCTTATTGTCCATGGCAAAAGATTACCAATGAAGTGCCAGATTTTTATGCATCATGCATGAAGGCGACCACTCTTTCGACTTCTGATCCGTTTTATGATTCAGGTGCTTGCTGCGTTCTGACGGCCGGCCCCTCCACTGCGTACCCATACATATATATTACCACTGTGTTTTCACTTTCAACCTTCCCTTCTCAGTCTCATCAGCTGATAATTAGCCTTTCTTCATCACTTTCAACCATTCAAGATTAAAAACTGACACATATAACTAATAAATTAAAGCTGAAGATAAATTAACTGATGTGTGTTGACTTTTCTTGAAGCACATGCGTATTTCAGGCTGCATACGTTTTGAAAATTAATTAGGAAACCATGCATTTAAAGTTCATGGTAACACAAACATGTAGGGGCCTCGTTAAGTTCTGCATCTGGTGGTGGAATCATGGCTGCTCTGCACAACAATGATGTTCTGTCCAATAATTCCCAACCTCTTGGCATTTACCGGGCGAGTTCTGTTGTGTCCTTTCCTTCAAAATTAAACCCGGAAAGGGGGAAAAAAATTAAAAAAGAGGAAGAGTAATGAATTAGATCGCGAAAAAAAAAAAACAAAACAAATTTGTTAAAGTAGTGTTGTGTGTGTGTCATGTTTGGAACTTTGGTAAGCGTTTGCTGGAAAACTTGGAATTGAAATGAAGATATGAATATTTGGGTGGGAAAAGGAATGTTAGGTTCAGTAACATATAGTGAACAAAGCAATGTGTGTGGCTGGATGAACAGAAACAAAAATTAATGGGCAGGCTCTGAATTTTGGGGGATCGGACAAGGACAACAAAGGCTCCAGGTGAATGCAGAATGGGAGCACGACAGACCACGTTTTATTCTTTGTTCTTCTTTCATCAGCCAAAGAATCCATCCCATCCGATCCCATCCCAGTACGGCTTGATTCGAGCATAGATCATCTTCACCACTACTGTCTCTCTCCTTCAAGCCCACCTTTTGAGAATCCCTTTCCTTTGCCGTCAAATGAACATATTTTCAATTTCATGACAAATCATCAAAGGAAGGTCAGTGTGCTGAAGTTGAATACTGTTGGTTATATGTTCATGATGCACGCTTATATTATATTATGAACAGCTTCTACACTAATAAACATTTCAATCCCATTTTGACGCTAAGTTGGGTGATAAAGAGTAGAACTGTGTAGGGGCAAATGCTACCACCATGCTATTACTTTTCTTCTAGCCAAAAGATTATTGGGCATTAAAAAATGTCCTCTTTTCAAACTTTGAATAACCCATTCCATGATTTCAACATGAGGGGAAAATGATTGACGTCCAAATGACTGATGACACCAGAGGGCAAGGTCAAAAGAAAACTAAATTAAAAGGAAAAAGAAAAAGAACACCAGAGGAAACAATTATAGTTTGACGCGCGCTTTTCGATGGATTGTAAAGGCAAAGCTTTTTGTTTAAAAAAAAAATTAAAAAATCAAGAATTTTAGTATTTTAGTTAGGAAAAGAACATATTTTTTAATCAGGCTTCAAACCTGAACCCTGAAAGCAGTGCTAATTGCTAAAGAAAAGATTATGAACGCACTGTTTTTTTTACTGCCCAGTACAGTGTTTTCGGAAGCTTCACTTGCACAAACAAGGTATCTATATATGTATGTCAGTATGGACAGAGTGATAGTTTATTATGATAATTTTTCGAAGCTATACCTTAAATATCTCCTTTTAAAAAACAGATGACAGAAGTTATGAACCAAATGCCTCGGTCGACTGGTAAAAATTTTTTGTCCGAACACGTTTCAAATGAGCTTCCACAATTTTTATCATGCATACATTAAAATTTGTTCATCTTAGCTTCCATTTGTTCAAGTCGAATATCAATGACAAAAATGCCGAGTCGAACTAAATTTCAACTACTCTCAACCTAACTTTCATTTTTTAAAAACTAACATATGAGTATCTCGTTGCATAATTTTTTTAATTAACAAAATATAAGATTCTTAACTGGTGTTATTAGAAGATACTGTCTTTTTTTCTTTTGTCTTTCCTAGCTATATTAGCTAGCTTCATTTATCCAAGGCGCCTCTTTTTGGGGGGACAAACTGATAGATGGGCGAGCTCTACTATATAAAAGGAACCTGGCCTTTTTACGGGCAAACGGCTCCGGGAGAAGCAGGGAGAAAATGGCCAAACGTTTGAAGTTTAGAATATGCCGTGTCTTTCAGTCTTGCCGATCCAAAGACCCATCTGTACTACCCTCCAACCCAGTCCCTTGCCTCCTCCCAGTCACACCCACTAAACCTCATCGCTCCTCGCTCCGCAGCCACGTATCGTCTGCCTTTGAATCTGTTGGCTGTGGCTTCCGACCAAGACCCACCCTCTCCGAAGCCGATGAACGCCGCAACGAACCCCAGGACTTCCGATGGGAACAACAAGACAAATGGCACGTCGTCGCCAAGGTATGCGCCCCAGACAACAATACCACATCTCGCCGCAAAATCTACAGCTCCTCAGTCTCCGGTGCCTCCGATGACGACGACGACGACATCTTGCCTCTCCCACCGCCACGTCGTGCGAGGAAGAAGAAAGGACGGGTTAAGAAGAAGAAAACGACACCGAGGTTTCGGGTGAGCACCTCCTCCGCTGACAGCTGTGGCTTGTTTAGCAGCGATGGCCACAACGATATGGACGAAGAAGAGACGGAAACCCTAGTTTCGTCTTCTAGAAGCTTCTCCACAGACTCTTCTTCCGTCGAGTTGAACTCTCACTTGGGGAGTATTTGCGAGACGGCAAATCAGCACCAGGGAGTCAAGAAGACGAAGCCAAAATCAACGAAGAAGAAGAAGAAAAAGTGTAAGAAAAAGAAAGATGGAAGAGCAAGCTTTTCATCGTCGCCGGCGAGGGTGTCGATGCTATTGCGGCTGATACCGTGCAGCGTGGAGGGGAAGGTGAGGGAGAGCTTTGCAGTGGTGAAGAGATCGGAGGATCCTTACGAGGATTTCAGGAGGTCGATGATGGAGATGGTTTTGGAGAAGCAGATTTTTGAGGAGGCGGATTTGGAGCAACTCTTACATTGTTTCTTGTCTCTTAATTCCAGCGAACATCATGGGGTTATTGTCCAGGTTTTCGCTGAGATCTGGCAGGCTTTGTTCACTTCTGCACCAACAACATTTAGAGAATGAAATACTTGCATGTTTTTAAGTAGTATTCTAAGTTTCATTATCATTTTATCAATGTACCTTCTCATCTAAGGATGAGACGGATCAAAGGTAGGAGTACTCTAACTTTTGGTGAAGTTTCACTTGAAAATCTCCCATCTCCTCGTTCCCATAGTTTTTCACGATTATAAATGGAAATTGGATTACGGATGGGATCCGGTACATTTTCTCTCGGACTGATGGGAGGAAGATGATGGCTCTAAGCAAAGAGCAGTGGCGAATGGCTGCTGTGTCTAAATTGGCAATGAAGTTTTTTCATCTCATGACTAAGGAATTAATGTGCATATACGAAATCGGGTTATATATCACCTGTCCCTACGAAGCATTTACTAATTAAAAGATGTCTCTGAATGATAAATAAACACCAACTTTATCTTAACCTGTCTCCGGTAACAATCATCGTAATCAATCACTAGCCTCTATTTTATTATTTATATATAGAGTAGTAATAATAATGCATGGGAAGTTGTTTGGCTTTGTTCTCTCCCCCTTTTTGAGGGAGAAAGACCCGTAAACGGAGGCCCTAGACAACGCGGGGTTCATTGGATCCTATCTATTTCACTTTCGGTTAGACTGATATTTATATTATTTATTCTTTCTTTTTTTTTTATGTCAGTTCACCTCTGATAGGTACTCCAAACACCAAAAGAAGGAAAATGTCTGTCTTGATCACGGTTTTAATTTTCTGGGCCTTCAGTGATCTATAAATCTTCATTTTACATATTCTCTTCCTAGTGGGCCTCTTCATACATACCTAATTTTTCACCAATAGAGATTCATCAGCGGCAACAAACATGACGAACAATACATGTAAAGCCGATGGAGAACTCCTCTCCTCACCACGCAAGTTTGGGGCTTTGAGATGGCCACTCCCCTGGAGGTTTTCCTTCCTCGGTACTTCGTTGCTGGGTAGTTCCTGGTCGTATATATCGTACGTTGTGCATATCTATCGCTGTCCCTTTGCATTATGTCAAAACTCAAAAGAAGAGCAACCATCTGAAAGACCATCCCCACCTTCTAATTAGTTTTCGTGAAGTTCACGTCATCGGAATAAAACAAAAGATCAAAGCATGCCATTGATACAACTTACTGGAAGAAGTAAAATTCAGTGAATTCCTCGCTCCCACGGTATCAGACGCTTCTTGCTGTGAGATCAATAAATGGCGCACTCATTCCCAAATAAACGACAACTCTTTGTTCAGTCTGCGACAAGCATGAGATAAGAACACGGGAAGAGAAAGATTGACACTGATGATGGTATTGGAGAAGAGAGATGGGTGTTTTGCATCATGCGTACGACGGTGAGCCTGTTGGATTCTTTGTCGTATCACAGCATGCTGTTTCCTTCTCTCTTCTTTTGGTTTAATCAGTGGGCCTACCCGAGTCAGTAGTGAGTCACAGTATCGCGGGGATTCAGTTCTCTTTCCACCCTTCGATGCAACCTAACACATATTAACCTACGCCTCGGGATTTGTATCTCTGATGAATGTGGCTGCCTTCGTGATTTATGGTTTCGAGCGGGAATCGTAAGGAGAAGCTTTATTAATTTTCTTGTGCCGGACGGCTCCTCTTTTACTGGCCCGCTTGCTGACCCAAAAACGGGAACTTTGAGTTGGTGTTATTTTGTGGATACGTATGAGTGAGCGTGTTGATGTAAAATTCAAATCTCTTCTCTCTGTTTTTTTTTTAAGAAAAAAAAAATAGGATGTACAATGATACAATCCATTATGAAACTGCCGTACTTTCATCTTCATCTTTGACAGGACATTATCTATATACTTTTTTTTAAAGAGAGCCTATTTAACTATTTTAGTTGGATTAAAAAAATTAAATAAGATAGTTAATTATAAGAAATATGATATTTTTTTTCAAAATATCATAATAATTTTTTTTATATTCTTATTTCCTCTCCTACTTGAATAGGCTTAATTTAGGAATATAAAAAATAAATCTTACATTTAGAATCAAGATTAATTTAATAATTAGATCTTATATTAAATATGAGAGGAACACATATGTAAATCCCTTCAAATTAAGATTCAACCTTGTATTTTTCTGAGTCTTAAGTCATGTCCTTGTTAAAAAGATTACGAGGCCTTTCAATGATCAATTTGTCAATACCAAATCACCGATAACTAAGCAAAAGTACTGAGAATTGCGCCAGACATCAACTCAATTCACCTGAAACTCAATGCAAATGCATGATGTTACTCCACTCTTAGAAGAAATATATTCAATCTTTTTAACGTTGGTAGCATATTATACACTGAAATTATTTTTCATTTTATATTTTTTTTTTCAACCTTGAGTATCTATACAAGTAGTCAAGTACATGGGGATTACGGCTAGTTTTAAATTTATACACACCCACTTTGTTATTATTAGTTTTTTTTCTTTTTGGTTAAAGAATTAACATTGAGGAGTGGCTTTAACGATTCAATCTGGTTACCTTCGCTGGCGACGTATATTGGGCTGGAAAAGAAGCCAATCCGCGACGGGGAATTATTATACAAGGGATGAGCCGAAACCCCAATATTTAAGCAAAGACGGCATATTAGGGTCGTGACTCTGCCGAGGAATACCGCAGTAATGATATTTAATAATGTATTAAATACAGAACAAATCGGCTTTCCGTCTGCAATAGAAGCGATTAAGAAGGTGTTTGGGTAAGATCAAAACTATGATTTCAGAAGTGTTTTTACAGTGTACGAGATAAATATGTAAAGGAGTTTATCTCGTTGCAAAAAAATACTTCTGAAAAATGCTTATTGGGCTTCCCAAACACCCCTTAAATCATAGAACGGAAAATAGAACAAACCGACAGGAGCAGCTTGAACGAAAAAGCTCCTATGATAACTTCCAAGTTACAGCGCTTGGGGATTGGTTCACCTAAAACTAGAAGGCTCAAACCACTTGCAATTAGACATCTCATCTTAATTATTCAAAAAATGATGATGGAAGGCAAAAACTGGACTAATCTGTTGAGTTCAATGGTAGTGTCCATTAACGTTAACAAAGTGGTCATGGCATAGGCATTGAAGGAGGCAAAAACACAGCCTATGATCTCCTAGTAGTTGCCCCAGAGTTCATTTTATTTGAAGCAAACGGTCAGATATTGTAACAGGTCCGAGTTTAAGGAAGACGCAGCGTCCTTTCTAAGAGAAGATCCTTAGGTTGGCCACAGCGATAGGGTCAATTTGCTTTGAAATGCCCTGACGAACACGTAGCGGAAAACTGGTTTCGAACCATTTCTTTTGCTATTCGCGACATTCTGGCAAGTTCTCCTGTTTGTTCTTCTATCCTTGACGTTAAATATAGATGGCCATCATCCATCACAAATACTAACATGGGATGTCAATGTTGATTTAAAAAAAAAAAAAAAAAAAACCCAAAAACAGGATCTATGTGAAAGGCTGAAGATCTAACTGTCAATTTTCAAAATTTTATGGAATGCAAGTAAAATCAGAGGCAAAAAGGACGCTGCATCTCCCCACCCTTTTCAATGCACTCGTAGCAGGATTGCTTCAAATTGCAGTGCTCCAGTAACCAAGTGGCAAAGCTATCAGACTCCCCTAGCTTCATCCACGACGACCGGAGCGTCAAAATTCCCAAGTCAATCACAATTAAAATAGCTATCTTTGAATCGTCGGAAAAAAAAACAATTCGGGAAAAGGGCGTAACGTGACACAAGCCTGATTCTGGACCAAAGGACATAAAAACAGGGGGGCCGCAACAGAGATTCAGAGGAGCAGCTGAAAACAAAAGGCAATCTTCAAAATTAAAACACAAATCAATTGCCAAAAATATAATGCGAAGCAGGATGATTTGTACGATTCAAAACTTATTGTATTGAAGCTTTCGCACTCTTTCAAGCTCATCATATATAAATATTTGCCGGCTTGTAAAATTGAAATTTTGACTTCCAGAGCCAAGATGTGGAGCAATAGGGCTGCCCATAAGGCTCCTTACCCTACAATCCAATCAAAGCCGGGGCCGGAGTAGAGATAACGTTCCACTCAGTGACCTGTGACTCTGAGAAGAATCCACAATATAACTTAAGCTGAAGCTTTTTCCGCCTTATCAGACTCGGCACTAACAGAGGTCAGATTAAGATTTTCCTCAACCTTTGCCCACGCTTTCAACATATGGGGAGGAAACTTCTTCTTCATAGTTCGAATCAGTCCTTTAGCCTCTTTCTTCCTTCCTTTCTCCACTAACCCTTCCGCCAAAATCTTCAGCGTATTAAATTCTGGAATCTTGTGTATTGCTACGCTCTTCTTGAAAACTTTATATCCTTCCTCGTAATACCCGTTTCTACACAAATAATATACCAGAGATCTAAATGTTGCAGCGTTGGGTTTGCACCCATTTTCGCGCAGTCCCTTAAAAACCGCTTTCGCTTCATCCACCATTCCGGACTTCAAATAGCAAGTCATCAAGGAATTATAAGTAACAATGTCAGCTTTAATGCCAGCATTTGTCATTTCATCAATCATGGCTTTTACTTCTTCCGGCTTTCCCTTTTGCTCAAACATAAGCCTAACATTATAAGCCGCGGCATCCACACAACCCTTCTTATGCATTAAATTCCACAGCTTCTCAGCTTCGTCACGTTTCCCCTTCCTGTACAAAGCATCCAATATTGTAGTGTATGTAACTACGGTGACCTCCACGCCCTTCTCGTCCGCCTCTTTCACAAGCTCAAGCGCCTTCTCAGGTTGACTTACTACGCAAAACGACTTCACTAAAATACCGTAAGAAATCTTGTCTGGCGCCAAGCCATACTTCTTGGGAATTTCATCGAACAGCAACGGCACCTTCTCAAAAAGTTTCGATTCAATGCAAGCAGATAAGAGGGCATTAAAGGAAAGAGCAGACCTTGGAGTACCCAAATCGTCCATTTGATTATAAGTATTCAATGCATGGTCGAACATACCGGCTCGACCATAGGAACGAATCAAGGTGGATAAGAATGGCTCCTGGGTGGCTGCGGGGTCATTCTTGCGGGACTCAATGAGATTCTCGACATCAGAGAAGCGGCCAGACTTAGCCAGACAGCGTACCGTGAGATCTTGTACGTAGCGGGAGGATTCAGGGGAGGCGAATGTTTTGGAAACGGAAGAGTATATTTTAAGAGCCTCGTCTGGGTCGTATTCGGTCCGAAGCTTTGATTTTGCTTTTGAGATTGAAGGGGAGGTGGTGGAATAATGACGTATAAGGCGTATCACAGCAGTCTTGTGCGACATCTTTAGGGTTTAGCAGCGGAAGAAGAACGGCACCGAGTCGAACAGAACTACTCGCGATTGAAAGGCGCTGCTATTTTTTTTTCTCCCCGGTGATCTAAAAGGAGACGCTGTTAGTAGGGTTTTACAGCGGAGGTCAGAGTGCCATTACCCGCAGCTTCAAAACAAACAGGTATTATATCATAGTGTTATCAATTATCGTTATCAGTATATATAATAACCACACACCCTGAAAGTCACCAGTGTATTTCATTTCAAATTTTATACCATGTATAGAAATGTTGTTTAAATAGAAAAATATCTAGTTCCTCATATACATCATGCCAAGTTCTCCATGTGTATATATGATTAAAAAATTTAAAATAATAAATATAAAAATTTCACCTATTCTGTTTAAAAAATCAATTTAACATTTTTCTTATTTTACCTCACTACAACATCTTGAAAAAGAGTTAGCCAAAAAAATCCTAAAAAAAATCACCAAATACTTAGATCAATTGAGAGGAGTTATTTCACCCTAATCAAAAGTCATAGGTTCGATCTTTTGAGAACGCAACAGCATGTAAATAATATGATCGCAATCCCTATAAGTCTTATTATGACCTAATTCAAATTAGTCTTATACCGACTGCATATGCAAAAATAAATCCTGAAAAAAAAATTAATCTCACTTTCTTTAGAAATTTTCCAATTTTCTGCCGTATCATTTCCCCAACTATATTCACACAAGTGATTATATATCATTAATAGTAATACTTTAGAGTCCAACTATTTCTTGCGAGTTTGAAGAAGACGACCATTTTTTTTTATCGCGAATCACTTTCAGGGAGTATCTAATGGGAAAATTAAAAAGTTCTTTATTACAGATACCCTTTCCGATGCAGTAATTAAGAAAGATAAAGGGTATACAATTAACATTCCCCTAGGGTCTGCTGATTTAATTGATTGATATCAAAGTAAATAACATTCTAAAGGTTAGTATCTCTATCACCAAAGACTTGGGACTTGAGAAGTGCAAGCTCGAGCACAAAGTCTTAACCGGAATTCCAAATCACACTCATGCAATAAGCAGATGAAGCGGAAAGTATGATCATGTATATCACTGATCAAATCTGTCCTGTGGATCCGCGAAGATGGTCCGTCACTGGGCAGCTAAATATTTTCTCCCTCTTTTTGGTGGGTGAAAGGGAATCGAACAAACTATTAAGGAGATGAGGCAGAAACTGAATTACTTCTTCAATAAACCAACGGTTTAAGCCTAAACAGGTGTACAGGAATATATAAGCAAGGGGGGGAAAAGTGGGGATATGGGATGAGATAATGGGATTACGGCAATTCTGACTTTCCCAACAAGTCTTGATAATGATTGCGCTTTTCCCTTCTTCCAAGAAATGAAGCAGGGATCACGAATGAGCTCGATGATGTATGTCAATATGATTGATCAGTAGTAGGACCTACAATTTTTGCATAGTACGATCATCTGTTTTCAAGACCCATACAGAACCTCTTGAGACACATAACTCGTTCATGACCTGTGGCAAACGAATAAAGTAAAACAAGACATTACTTAATTAAGATATTGATAGTTGAAAGGATGATAACGGCCTGCTGCAATATTAAAGAAACAGAACAGAAAAGATAGCACAGTAGAAATAAGTGAAGGGAAATCCTAAAAGGTTTTGATATCAACAATCAAAAGGAAACCAAATCAATGTATAAAGCCCACAATGATTCCAAAGCCCATTCCCCAATACAAACAAATCAGCAATGATCTAGCACGAGTCACACAGAAAGACAACACATGAGCACTTTACATTCGAGAGGCTAGAACTCTCAGCACAAAGGGTATTTAAAATGCATCTTACTTTCCCCATACCAAAAGACTTCTTTAAACCAAAAGGTGGCTCTCAACTACTCCATCCACACCTCATGCCCCATGACTGAGCATAGAGTCCCACTAGTCCACCACTTCCTTTCCCTTATAGTCAGGACCCTTGGGAATAATCTTCTTCACCAGCATATCATTCCATTCCACCCCTTGTGTCATCCTTGGTGTCCTCTAGTATGTCTTAGCAAAACCAGCAGCTATTATCAAAGCATTTTACATCATCTTCTAGCATTCGGAACATTTTGAGGTGAATTGCCGATATTTCACTGGATATGGCAGTGCAGCTACGCATATAATTAATTATCCTGTCTAAAGCCATCAGTTTTATCCAAGAGCAAGGACCGCTATTAGTCATTAACACTCCCAAAAACCAGTTTAAGCCTTTAAAACAGTGGAAGATGTTTAATTTCCAGTGTGCTCCTGCTCCCCATACTACAAGGAATTATATGACACACTGGATGCATATTTCACCATAATACTAAAGAATCCACATATTTTTGGCGCAAAACTTCCTCGTTTCACACATCATAGAATAATGTTATCAGTTAACCCCAAAAAAAATAAAACTCGATCAAAAGCCAATAATTTGGCAATCAGGTTAGCGTAATATACTACAGCCACCACGTATATTTAATCAAGAAAACATGGACTCATGAAAATAATATTATATACCTTGCTATACTCGCTGTTAGTGACCTCCCTATTGAGTTTTCTTTTGGCAGCTTCAAGTACCTCAGCTTTCCTTAGCTTGGCATTGGGTCCACTTCCACGCAGCATATCAATTACAACATCCCTGCAAGAACCAACTAAATGAATTTAGCAACAAAAACTTTTACAATGTACAGCGGATCATCAACAACATTGATATTTTCTGTTTCCTGTGGGGTGGTATTAGGAGAGATAGCAACCTAAAATGCTCATTCGGTGATGACTTCAGGACATAAAAACCATGGATATTGGACGCAGTTTCGCTTATGACGGCCTGCAATTCTTCTGGTGGAGCATCAAGTCCAAGTGCTGCATCTATAGCAACTTTAGCAGCTGACTTTGGCTGCATGGACTGGGAAACCGCCATTCCACGCAATTCATTGCATATTTTTTGAAAGCTAGCAGAATAAATGAAAATGAGATAATACAATCGCATCCAAAGCAACAAGATGAAAATAGAAACCTTTTATTAAGAGAATTTTACATCCCTAATGAAAGCAGGATCCATGGGCTGACATCCAAAATGAAGTCAAGAAAGAAATTCTATTATATCAAAAATGAAAGAATAATAATATGCAGTGAAAAGGACCTGTTTTGGGGTTACACTCCACCCATAAGCAAAATAGGACTGGTGATGAGAGCACATTGCCCCCTTGCCCTCCTTCCTCCATTTAAAACTACTAAAACGAGCAGATAGAAATTGTAGCAAAACTTCATATTAACATTTTTTTTTGACCGTTTGAACAGTACTTGCTATAAACACATTTTCTATCATTGAGTTCTCAAGGAAATAATTTAAGGAGAATCAGAACTAAGGAAATTAACAAATTCTAGGGAAACATTCTGGACCTGGTGTATTATACATCCTAGTTTCCTAAATATAAATGCAGGGGAAAGCTAAGAAGGTGACGCATTTCAGCTTCAAACCTTTCCACCTTTAAAATTGTGCTTGGAAATGATTTCATAAATTTATTTTCTAAAATAATAAAACAAGATAGAACCAAACAGAACTGCCGTACACTAGGCAGACATCTAAATATAGGAGACTCCACAAGGCCATAACCATACCTGCAAACAGGATGAGTTTGGAAGAGTTTTTTAAGGGCAATTGGAAGAGCATGTCGGGTGTCACTTGACATGGTCATCCTCATAGGAGGTACTCCACCTACACTTGTTGCATGTTTATCAGAAGTCGCTACCTGTCCAGGCTTACTGCCTTGGCCAAGCTTTGGTACAGCATTTTTACGAGGTTCACCTTTTCCAACTTTGTAAACAGCACCATATACCCGCTCTTCCATGCCCTCCATAATGCCTTTATACTTTGCAACAATACTGGGATAGCGTTTTATGAATGATTCATCAGGATGCTCTCTGAACTTCCAATAGTCAATAGGTTGCACGCTAGATTTCCAATCTTCAGTTCTTTTCTCACCGAGAACATTCAGAAAGTTTTTTATATGATTACTAAGATGTTTATTAAGATCATTTCGAACGTTGAATTGGGAAAGCTGAACCTTCAAATTCTTACTAAACAGGAGCAGTGCAAAATCTCTGGCCAAACTTTCCACACCACCCTCAGGATATAACAATGCACTTTTTGGAGCCCAGAGTCCTTGCACTAATAGTGCATGTTGCTGCAGGAATTCCAGAAGTTGCTCCTCAGAGTATTCAGGAGCAAAGTGCTTAATAGCACTAAAACGGTGTAGTGAAGAACCCTATCAGTCAAAAAGCAAACAAATGGATGGAATATTACACAGCTCTGCTGAGAACACTGCAAATATACACACTTCAATCTTTCTTCCTTCCTTCTTTTTTGTGTTTGAGAGTAGCATAAATGAAAAATAGCAACCACATAGTAATTCGAATTGAGAATAATTCTTAAGGGGGGCAAACAAGCATCTCTGGCTTTTGGCATGTTATGAATGAGGAACTACATGCATGCCAATTTATTCACCAATAGATATGGTTACTCAATCATGATGCTCCGCTATTGGCAAATGAGAAGAAACAAAACTTTAACAACAAACTTTCAAAGCCAATTGTCAAAACCTGGTTACCATAAGAAAGATGCTGACTTCATCCTTGCAGAGGATGGTAAACGGTTCATTGGTAAGACTGGATATTGAACATTTATGTTGGTGGATATGCTGATGACAATGCTTTTGGCAATGAGACATGGGGGAATACGGCAAGGATAGTACTTGTGAGAGAATCAAAGAGCAAGGTCAACTAAAAGCTCAAGTTCACATCATAATATTAAAGACAATAGAAGCAGGTTCAAATAGTGCACAAGATGTTCCATGATATTCAATGGAGAAGACGGGAAGAGATGACAGCCGCAAAACTAATCTACTGATTAATTAATGGTCCCTAGTGTTGTATAGTATTTACTATTCTTTGAGAAATACAGAATCATATTAAATATCGCTGTTAGAATTGTAAATAAAAACTGATGGGTCAAGTTTTTATACTCAAAGACCAAACAATAAACTAAGTGTGATGATACAGTACGCTGAGACATTTCTTTTATTAACTTAATTATGTAACATTTATTATTATTTGGCAATAGAGGTAGCTTCGGAATTAATTAGGGATCAAATATTTAATTGAGGATTTGAATAAAGCCTTTGAGTATTGGATTATGTCTGCATATCAGACCTACCGCCTACGGTCGGGTTAAACCATATATTTCATTTGAATGTGCATAGTCAATCTTAGAGGTAACCTCTTTGTATTATTGAACACTGAATCAAAATTTGAAGTTTGTTCCTTCTTGTTTCTTTTCCCTTCAGTTCCCTTCAAAATCAGAACAAAAGTGGAATCCTGTTTTTTCCATCCTCCGGCGTAAAATAGTTGCCACAAAAGTTATTAAATGTAATTCTCCCTTAAGAGCAAAGTGAAAATAAATGAAATCAAAATAATCAAGAATTACCCTAAGAAAAAAGCGTAGGCAGTATGATATCCATACATTACAGCAGAAAGATAGAGATTATACTGAAATAAATTGGGACAAACCTCAACAAGTAATTTCTTAAGACGTTCTTCTGGAGGTAAGGATAGCAGATACCTGAAATAGCACCCATTCATAATAGTAAAAATAGTAAATCCACTCGTTGCATTTGCAATATCAGCAACAAAAGCCATCAAATCAATAAGGGTAGTCTAAGGCAAATCAACATGTTACAAAGCACCTTAAGAAAAAATATACCGCTCTACAGAAGAAGGATGAGCACAATCAAGATGAAAGCAACCCTACTTATGTTGAATAGGTAAATGAGATTTCCAGGATGTTTTCTTTAAGTCGTCTTGGGTACAATAAAACTGATCAATTTCCAAGAATCTGGGGAAAGTAGCTATCCATCTACTTGAGGAAAATTTTTCAAAATATCAATTATTTGATTAATTGTGATTAATTTTGACTCCCAGGCAACTGCCCTAGTGCCATGGCTTTTTATCTTTATATTTTTTAATGAGGTTTGAATTGACTGACAATTCCGCCAGACCTGCTAGCTTGCTGAGGTCTCAAGATAGGAACTAAAAGGAAAGTGAAGTGGGCAGAAAATATAAAATAAAAAAATTCACAACAGCTCACTGAGTCAGTGCCACATACCAAGAAACTGAATACGCAGGATATTAAAGGAAGACCATACCTTCTAGAAGGACCCTTGGATAACATGCTGTTGCTCACTCCAGGACATAGAGAAGCAACGTAATCGTACCTTTAAATCATTAACAGAACCTTATAAAACAAATAAACTTCCAAATTCAAACAAAGGACTGAGTCCATAGGATACAAATTCTTACGGGCTCATTGTAAAGTTTATGGGAGAACTCTCTTGTGCCACCATCTGCCGCAAATATCTAGATGAAAGATCACTTTTGGAGCTATGGTACTTGAGAGGAACCCAGTACTGGATAAGAAAAGGACAAAATGAATGATAGCAAAATGGATAAAAAGAAAGATAAAAAACCATATCATAAACAAAATTTGACACAACCCATGCGGCCAACATATAGAAAACGAAGAAACAGTGTGCTTCTTCAGGACAACAATTTTTCAGGTCAGCAATTCAATTAAAGCAAACATAGGCCCTATATCGGCAGACGGAAAACATAGATACAAATAGTGTCCAACTTTTAAAAGTGAGTGTGAGTGACGATTACCAAAAGCTAAACATATGATAACAAACCCACTTCACAAGCTACTATATGATTAATTAAAATGCATAATTGCCATAATAATTTATAAGATAACCAAAACAAGACTGCAGATTACAGTTTCAATAGTTTTACCTCATCACCATCACTTTTTTCCCCGACTGAAGATTCCATCTGCTTATTCTGCAATAAGTAAAATAACATAATTTCATGAATCAATTGGAGATCACCAAATATGTTGCCACACGGAAGCAGCAAATTTATCAATAAAACTTTCAAGAAGAAATACAGTAACCTTGTAATAAGTGTGTAAGACAACTTGTGAATGAGCCGTTTAAATAATGAGATACCACAATATGTAGTCTTTTTTCAAATAAATTTGGCACAAAAGGCAACTCATGACAATATCCAAGCTGCAATACTGCATAAATAATTGCCAAAGACGCATATAAGCATATAACACCAAGCTGATTAAGACAGGGGAGAAGGAGCAGCCGAAACACCAAGCAAAGATACCTTTAGGAATTTATCATATCTATTCCTTTATATTACCGCAAAATAGGGTTCCAGTGCTTTTTTTTGGGGGGGGGTGGTTTGTGGGGAGTATATTGTACATAAGTTTCAACTTAGATTTTGTCAACACAACTGTGCATTCCCATGAAAATCATAATAGTACACTTAACTGTAAAAAGTTTTAGCCTCTGAAAAGGCGTCTACAAGGTAAAATAGATATACACTAAACGGCAAAAAACGCTCTTATGCCACTACATTGCACTGGATGTTGATAATACACAAGGTGACAGCTAAACCTAATTTCATACACGTAATTATCAGTTAAATACCTGCTTCTTTGATGTAGCAACAGACTTTTCTTCAGCGGAATTCTCAATTTTGATAGTGGCATTACTGCTAGTAGAGATATTGGCCTTTCTTTTTGAGCCACCAGAGTTAAAATGTTCTAAGGATGGTCTAAGCTGCACGACTGCATGAATAGGATGCAGGAGTAACTGCAACACAAAATGAAGCAAGTAAATTCAAAAATTTCTCAAGCAATGGAGAAATAATGGGCTCGTAATATATAAACAAATACTCCCTCTGGACCTCTGTATAAGAAACATATAACTGTTTTACATGGACCAAGGAATATAGTTAAGATCAATCAAAATGTTTGAGATTTCATTTTATTAACCATATTGGTTGTTTGACAAGGGGGCTGAATGTGATGATGCCGACTTAATTATAGTCAATTAATGAGGATAAAAAGAAGTTTATAATAAGTACACAAGAAAATGGAGGTCCAGAGGGAGTACTTCCAAGTAATAGACAAATAATGGATCTGTTATGTTTATCTATGCTATATAATCAGCAATTTGTCAGTATGCAGAGGTACTTCCAATACAATGTTATGTAAGTGACCATCATCTTCCAACTTTAGAGGAGCATTTAGTGGAAAAGGGATCCTCATAGAAACAGTTGAACGTATAAAACTTTCATTAGGGGAAAAATTGAAGTGAACCAGTGGCTTCAGATTATCATATACCAAAAGAGCACTTTATTGGTGAATTATTCAAAGTAAAGGTGCTCAGCAATAAATCAATATACATACCTAACATAATGCAGTATAATCATCTAACCCTGAAACTTAAAGGCCAAAATAGATTATGAAACTTAATACCTTATTACCCACAAGAAGCCCAACAGCATATCCATTTGTACAAGGTGGCTTCCACGAAGTCGATAAAGTCTGAATAGAAATAAAAAAATAATTAAAAAAAAGACACTAACACCATGATGCATGTGAATCCCACGATTGAGTAGTATTCTGGTTCTGCTGATTTTAAAAATTTTATCCCACGTATTATCGAGCTTCACAGATATGCCTTTAAGTCCTGAACTCCTGGACTCCTAGTTACTGAGTGATTATTTCTCACCACGAACTACTGATGATCAAAATACAGAACAGAAATACACAATTATGTTGTTCAATCTAATTCTAATTGGTGTATAGATTTAGAAGCATCTTTAGGTCAATAGCCTAAGGACTTCCGCAAGAGATGAATCAGATTACTCCTAGGATGAAAGGAGGGGCATATTATATGTATAACAGAGACGAGGTTGCGAAAACTCACCTCAACCCTCTCAATGCCAATTACAGAATATTGATCTCGGACACTTTGATATATAAATATGGTATTAGAAACCTAACTACAGCTAATATTCTTTAGAGAAGTAAAAAGATGGAAGAATGACCTGTTTCGTCATCTTAAGTTTGCTAGCAAACTCCCTGTCATGATTACTAGACTCCATGTCAATAGATAAATCAACCTCTACTTCTGAACTATCAGGTTTCAACCTGACCTACACAAAGGAAAGAAAACCATATAAAACAAAGTTAAACGAATGTAGCACACAGAGAGAGAGGACTCTCCATGTTCGCGAAATGTATGAACATATCAGTCTAGAAATAAGTAAAATATCGCACCTCTTCACATCGATCATCCAATTCATACGGTCTCCAACAAGGTCTCAGAGGATATTGCAGAACATATAACTGAAATGACAAACCAGAAGTAGACGCTGAAGAAATGAGTGTGTATGAGAGAGACAGAGAGTAAACAATCCAAAATGAAACTCACTGACAGACCTGAGTGTCAGTGGCAATAGAAGGTGTGAAGAAGACGTCAATTTCCCGCACAACTGTATCTTCGGCGCTGTCTTCATCCATAGGTTCATCTTGTTCGGGTTTATCATCACCCTCTGACTTGGGGTCCACGTCCATTTTAATGGCGCCATTGGGAGCCGAGGATTCTTCCTCTTTCGTTTTGGCATTCACTGAATCAAATTCTCGCGGTTCAGGTTTAGACCATGATTCAGGGGCTTCAGTCTTGGGTGCAGATTCTTGTGGTTCCAGTTTAGGTTTTAATTTAAGCTTTGATGATTTAGGCGCGAATCTGGAGACTCGAGAAGGAAGCTTGGTCGGCGCATCCAGGTCGTCAAGGTCCATATTGGAGCTCTACTTCTGTGCCGCTCCTGTCCAGTGTACACAACTCTAGTGGAGAATTGGTGGGAAACGGTTACTGGAAAGAGAGCAAGTGCTCCGAGGCTTTTGGTGAGGTTTGGAGTTTACGGATGGCAAATCGGCAACGAATTTTCCCGGGCCGAAATGACGAGACCGAGGGCGGCGAAAAAGGGTTTAAAAAGAAATAAGAAGAAATTGGGCATGCGCAGGTTGCCCCGTATTTGGTTTCCCGGGAATTTGAGGCTGGCCCATTGGATTTATCAGTATTTGATTAATTTTATTAAAAAAAAGGAATAGTTATAGTTATTACATAAACAATTGGTTAGTTAAGATTTATTAGATTTGATTAAATCACGATAAAATCGTGAATGATGATAACATTATTAAATTTCATTATTTATATCCATGACTGTAATATAAGATATTTATATGTGGAAATTTATTAACAGATGTTAGATGTGGTAATGCAGGGTGGCGGTGCGAATACGGGTCAGCCCGCGGCGGTGCGGGCCCAAGTAGCCTGCACCTTGGCGGGCTGGCAAAACCTCCAAGGCCCGCTGGCCCGCCTACATATTCTTTTTTTTGTAATAAAAACTATTATTCTTAATATAGGTTGAGCTTAATTTGAAATGTTAAAATCAGGCTTTGAATCTTGAATTTGAGTAGTGAGTTATGATAAAATAAGGTGAAGATTAATTTATAATTTAAGAATATATTTTTAAAAACTAATATATTTTTTATAAATAATTAATTTAACTAATTTTTTTATTCAAAGTAATTTAGTTTTCTTATCCAAATTAATTAAGTAGATATTTTATGTATAAATGTATAAGTATCACATGTTTATTTAATTTTATAAAGGCTTTTATAGTGACACAACAAATAAATGAGAAATAAAAGATGGACGATGATCTTCGTATAACTACACACAGAATCACAAATATATAAAGTGTTTAATTACTTATGTAATGATATGAAAGAGGCGATGTTTAATTGTTCATGTGGAATTTGAGGGTCAAAATATTTTAACTATATTAGGAATTATATAAAAAAAATTATAAAAAAAGTGGGCCAGCCCGCCAGCCGCGGTAGAGCAGGCTCAAAACAGTGCGGGCTAGAATAGCCTGCACCTTGGCAGGCTGGCATATTGCCAACCTGAGCCCGCTTTTTTTGGCGGGTTGGCAAGGCTCAACCTGTATTACCAGCTCTAACAGACGTGCACCATTTAAACAAAAACCAAAGAGACCTGTTTAGTATTACAAAAATTTGATCTCATATTTTCAAAAAATTAAGTACCTTTTTACAAGAAGGCAAATGATAATTTATTTTTTTTCCTCGACACAAAAGCCAAAAATAATTTCCGTGTTGTGTATTTTTATTCTTAATTCATTCTTCTTGGACACCAACAGGCCCTGGGACCTAGGGCGAATATGGGCCCAAAACTGCCAAGCGGTGTCCGCCTTTTGAATTTGGCCTGTCTTGTCCACCCAGGCTCCGGAATTATTGCGATGATGTTTCAATTATAGTCTTCATAAAAGATACACATAACCACTCAAAAAAAAAGAAAAAAGATACACATAATATTTTAACAATTTAAAATATTTAAAAAAGGTTTAAATTTTTATGAAAAAATTATCTACCAACAAAATTGTTTGGGCTTTTATTTTAGCATATAAAATAATGATTATGAATTAGACGCCGTTAATTTAACTTATTCCAAGTTTATAAACTGTTTTTGTATTGCTCAATCTTGTGATCAATATTTAATTATTTTATAATAACATGTTTAAGGATGTGTAGATCAATGTCAAAAATGAGTAAGAAAAAAATTGCACAGCCTTTCTGACCTGGAATAGGATGTAAAAAATTTTAGATTTCAAAATAAGGAGCACAGCATAACTTGAATATTTTTACGTGGAAGGCAACTCAGCCCACCTTAAAAACAGAGTCTTTTTATACCTTTTTTTTTAAACATATTTATTATCAGTTTTTCAATGGAAAAGATGACACCGTGTATAAACTTTTAAAATGTAATATCACATGTTTGATTGTTTGGGAGATATTAATACGCAATGATTAACCTAATTTAAACCAATTCAAATTGACTCAAGTGACTCTCATCAGTATGGCCTAGAGGCTACACCCATTTAGCAGCACAGCAGTGAGATGGAATAAGAACAACCATGTCCCTGTTCAGCCGCCAATCTATTCTCTTGACGGATCCGTTAACGCGGATGAAATGTGGAGGATCTTTATTATTTGGGTTCAAACTTTTCCCCTTTCTGCAACATCCTAGCAGTGGCAGGCCAGTAAAGTAGATCACGCATCTGAAAATCACTAGAAAAGAGACATATAATTTGATAAAGGGGGCGGATGGATCTGATTTGCTTGCTGAGTCTAATCAAGGGATGCCAATTGGGGTTGGCTCAACATTAGAACTACTTTCGGTGCTTATAATTTTGATGGGCATTTTCAATTTATCATATATGAATTATTCATATTTCATTTAGATAGTCAGAATTTGATTTTTTCTATTTTTATTTGTTTAAAATAATTATTTTAATATAGATAAGTTTAAAATAAAGATAATCTCTTAACTATTATTTTTTCAAAAAATAATTTTTTATATTTATAATAATTGACTAAAGATTTTAAATCTAAATCGTTCAAATCAGATATAGATAGTCCAAATTTAATGAGTTTAGGGTACTCACAACCAACGAGTGCTAAAAGTAATTCGTAGTGAAGAATATACTGCTGCTACAGCACAAATAATTACAAATGTGGGCCATAGTTGAAACTAACTAGGGTAACCCAGCATCTCATTAAAAGGGGAAAAAAAAAAAGGAAAAGATAATAATCAAAATCATCATAATGGAATGTCGTCCCATTTTCAAAAGAGTTTGCAAAACATGGCCATGCTTCTCACCGTCCACAGGACATCTCCACTCTCATCCGCCATCTCCCTGGTGGGGGAGCTTCGCTCGTGAATGCGATTGACTGGTCCTTCCCATATCATATCCTTTTAGGCAGCTTCTGACCTGGAAATAAAAATTAAATTAAAGCGAATGTGAAAAAGGCGATAGGAAAGGGACGTTGCTGCCCACACAAATTCGATCGCCTTATATCAGTTTCATCTTTCTTTCTTTCTTCTCCCACGATTAATTGTCATACTTGGAAAGGAAGGAAGAGGACATATTCACAACAAAGTGAGAGTGATGATAACAACAGAGAAAAGATGTTCATGATCTAATGATAGCCTCAACGCAATAGTTAGTCATCAAAGCTGTGACAGAATTTACTGATACCTCTTTTGGCAAGCTAAAAGGAAAATAAAGGCAGGCATTTTTCTGCATATATCTATATGCTATTCTTCACTGGTACCTGGTAGGCCAGTGTTTTTGAAATGGATTGTACGTTGGGGGAGGTTATTAATTAAAATCAATCATGTTCTGTGGCGTGCTAGAGTAAGAAAGGGACCCTTGAAATTAGTAGCATCCGATTCTCAAAACCAAGTCCAGATGGCTCCATTCATTCTTTACATGTCGTTGTAAGAGGAGTGCCCAAAACTTGCACACCTACGTTTCCTTGTAAAGTTTGAACTTTTCCTCCTCTGTGTTCCTATTTTCTCGAGATAAATAACGTTGATAATGATGAGGCTCCAGAATTTTCTTCGTTATGCTAAAAGGAGTTCGTTGGCAATTGCCCCCACATTTCCTGCGCCTACCCCAAGGCTGCGTGCGTGATTTTTACAACAACCGAGTACATGTTTATGGAGCCCAGATTTTATATATCTGCATATGAATCAGATATCTTCTCATCAGATTATTTTATGAATTCAGGAGATTGGTAGGATCCAAAAAGAAAGACGTGAAACTAACGAGGATATGTTACTTTAATTTAGTTTGCATCCGGCTTTATAGATAAAGAATCCAATCTGTGTATCCATATATAAAAGTAGAGATGATGCGTTGCTACTAAGATGTTCAGCCACGTCATCCTGTCCACGTGGCATACATGTGGAGCCCATCGTAGCATGGCCACCACTCATCATGATATGAGATTTAATCATATTGAATTTGAATATGATCCGAATTTATCTTTTCTAGTTCTATATTAATCCAATGTGTATAAATTAGAAGCCTAAAAGTCCACAGTGTTGTATACTTGTATGTATGGAACTGCACCAGATCTTTTTTCACCAAGGCCTTAATTAATTTTGAGTACGCGTGTATACAATATACGCATGTACGTAAATAAGAAAATGATAACTCATTAAAAGATTTGATAACAAATAGATGTTTCGATATTATTGAACGTGATCATTTTACAGTTGACGTATATTGTATTTTCTTTTAAAAAAATAATTTCACTGGATACAGCAAGATAAATCGGAAGGTTGTCACGTCATGCAAAAAATAATAATGCGGTGTTTGAACTATAAAAGAAATGCTATTTCTATTTATGTATACAAGTCAACGATAACATGATGAAGCATGCAGACAGGAACGGGAGGGAAAAAAATTGAAGACGAAAAATAAAACATAAAATAACAAATGTGCCGGCCTTTTTGGTTTTACTAATATTAAAACTTAAAATCATCAATCTCTCTCTCTCTCTCTCACTCAAACCTCGTTTTTGTTTTAGTGTGATTTTTTTTTTCTTTTGCTATTTCAAACAAGTAATGAATATTCAGCCAGCTTACATTTATAGTAGCACTTGTGTGACGTATCGATGAGTGGAGAATAATATATTTTTGGCATAAAACGTCAAGCGCACCACAAAAGCACTCGCCACCTGCTAGGTTCTTTAAAGTGACCAAATGCAGCGAACTAAGGGTTACAAGGGGCTTGAAAAAGACAATTAAACCGACCCGAGAGGTGCAGTCCCAATATTTAAATTTAACCTTCTTAATTTAAAGAAAAAACTGATAAGCCCTGTTCATGTTTGTTCAGTTGGTCATCGTGAAGACGCTAGTCGAGGTGCTTCTGATCACAAAATATGCTGCAACTAACTCGTTTTCCCTCTCTTGCTCTTTACCTTTTTATAACTAAGCGTGGTATTTTATATGTCGATATTGTTTTGCATTGTTATTGATTTTTTTTTTCTTTTTTTTTTTGTATGTGCTAGA